CAACCTCCCAAGTAGCTAAGGCTACAGGTGTGCACAACCATGTCCTGCTAATTCTTTCATGTTTTGTAGAGACGGGCTATGTTGCCCAGGATGGTCTCAAACTCCTGGCTTCAAGCAGTCAACCCTCCTTGGCCTCTCCAAGTGCTGGGAATACAGGCACAAGCCACTACACCTGGCCAGAAAAAGCCATTTAAAAAAAAAAAATTAGGGCTGGGTGAGGTGGCTGACACCTGTAAACCCAACACTCTGGGAGGCCAAGGTGGATGGATTACTTGATCCAGGAGTTGGAGACCAACCTGGGCAACATGGTAAAACCTCATCTCTACAAAAAAATATGAAAAGATAAGTAAAATAAAAGTTGGACATGAAAGCAAAGTACATAATATAAAAAATGCAATCCCGGAAAACCAGAATATTATCCACCAGAAGTTCTGCTTCACCACCGACATAACAATTTATAAAGCAAGAGACGAGGAAAAAAAATTATTGGGAAAAGTACTTAATAATGAGGAGTTTGGGGAACAGAACAGAAGTTATAAGCTGTAACCTGACCCATCTTACTTCACTGGTAGTCATATACAATTGAAAGAATGAAACAGAGAAGTGAGTCCTTTAAAACCTCTGTTGGGGCTGGGCACGGTGGCTTAGGCCTGTAATCCCAGCACTTTGGGAGGCGGAGGTGGGTGGATCATGAGGTCAGGAGCTCGAGAACAGCCTGACCAACATGGTGAAAGCCCGTCTCTACTAAAAATACAAATATTAGCCAGGTGTGTTGAAGCGCGCCTGTAATCCCAAACTACTCAGGAGGCTGAAGCAGGAGAATCGCTTGAACCCGGGAGGCGGAGGGTGCACTGAACCAAAATGACACCACTGCACTCCAGCCTGGGGGGATAGAATGAGACTCAATCTGAAAACAAAACAAAGCAAAACCAACCAACTCTGTTGGACCAGCACCTTGAATCAAATGGATGTTTTACGCTTCTATTTCCCAGTGAACCAAGAATTGTATGTCTTCATCTCTCCTTGAGGAGAAGCCCTATGTTAGACCTTGGCTACTCATCATTAAGATAAAATCTTAATAGATAAAACCAGAATTCCTTGAATCCATGAAAAGACAGTGTCCATTAAGAGTTTGTGAGGTGGATGCTCCCTATGACCTACGGCAGAATAAAATCCCCTTAGCTCCACCAAGTTAAAGGCTCTTGCAAGGGCACTTAGAGATGTTGCCTTTTCATGAAGATTTCATGTAGGTAGTCCCAAAATTTCCTCTGCTGTGTTTCATTGTTGTGGATCATGGCAGTGAGAGCTTCTCCCTGGTCCAGACCTTGCCAGTAATCTTGCAGCCACATCTCTTTCCAACTGAAATACCAAAATGAGGGTTGGATTATGGAACCACAGCACAGCTATGAGTCCTGCCTTTCTCTGAGCAGGGCCAAAGAAATCTGAAACAGATACAGTGGTCTCTAACTTGGACAAGACTGGTGTGAAGGGAAGACAATGTGAAGTAAATCCAGTATTAGCCCAAAGTGACAGGCAGTAAGCCACAAACACAAAAACAACAAACAGCCTACCCAATGAATTGCAATTCCTGACTTGCCTGCTTCTGGCTCCCAAATGTGGAGGGAGTTCAGAGACGGGCAAAGCAGAGACCAGACTGGAAGTGGTCTCCCTAAGGAAAGCAAGGGGACAGGGGTCTTTAGATGATTATCTTTTAAGTTTCACCTTTACCCCAAAAACCAAAATGAAGGTGCATCAAAATGAAGTGGCATCTAGTATCAGGGAAAGACATAACCTGAATATTTATTTTCTTAGTATTTTACTTTTTTTTTTTTTTTTTTTTGAGACAGAGTCTTGCTCTGTAATCAGGCTGGAAGGCAGTGGCGTGATCGTGGCTCACTGCAACCTCCACCTCCCAGTTCAAGTGATTCTTCTGCCTCAGCCTCCCGAGTAACTGGGACTACAAACGTGCACCACCATGCCCGGCTAATTTTTCTATTTTTAGTAGAGATGGAGTTTCACCATGTTGGCCAGGATGGTCTCAATCTTGACCTCGTGATCTATCTGCCTTGGCCTCCAAAAGTGCTGGGATTACAGGCGTGAGCCACTGCACCTGGCCAATGTTTTACATCTTTTCATATTTTTCCTCTAGTAAATCATATTATATTCAGATACAAACCATTTGTAATTAGATACAAATTATCTGGTGAAAGATTCCAACCATCTGGACAAAACTGCCAGCAGCATATATTAATAAATGGTCTGCTGCTGCCATCCACTGTCCAAGTCGATCTCAGGAAGCCATTCTAGCAGCCTTACTTCAGCTTAATAATCTTATCACCTCTCACCCAACAGGTGTGGCTTGCTGCAAGTGGCTTCAACATTTTCCCACCCCACACCTCATGCTGGCCTTGTGTCCCAGTACCATCATTTTGCGACCTACTACAGTAGCCTAATTTGCTTCCCTCTGATGCACATTGCACATCAGTGTGTGTGTGTGTGTGTGCGTGTAAGAGACAGACAGAGACAGACACAGAATCTTATTCCAATCCTGGCTGCAGTGGCATGATCCTGGCTCACTACCGCCTTGAACTCCTGAGTTCAAGCAATCCACCGGCCACAGCCTCCGAAGTAGCCAGGGCTACAGGCATGCACCAACCCCCGCCTCCCCCAGGCTTTTATTTTATTTTTTAAATTGTAGAGACAGGGTCTTGTGACATTGTTCAGGCTGGTCTGGAACTCCTGGCCTCAAGTGTTCCTCCCACCTTGACCTCCCAAAGTGCTGGGATTACAGGCATGAGTCACCATGCCCAACCATGCCTGGCTTTTCTAGTTACACAGGCAGTGTGTCCTCACATGCACCAACCACATGGGGCTCATCCTCTGCACAGCCACTTAAAAATTTATGCCTGGGTAACAGGTGTAAGCCTTGACTGTTGCAGAAAAGCCTCCCTCAAAATGATCTCTACTCCCCACTCCCATTTCCACTCTATAAAAGGTGCTCAAATAGCTGAGTTGATTGTCAATACTGTCCAAACTCCTGAGCCTGGTATTCATGATATTTATAGCCTGGCCCCTATTTATTTGCCCCATTTTCTCTCTCCCTTATCACCTCTGTGCTCTGGTTCAATCCTTTTTTGAACCACTACTGGAAACATTGTCTACATAAGCTGATTTTCATATGTTGTTGCCTTGGATTATATTTTACATCTATTCAGCTTTTCCAGTTTGCCTTATCCCCCCAACTAGACTGTTGACACCTTAAAGGCAGAGTGAGCCCATGTCATAATTTCCTCCTGCACCTGCTCAGCACCTAGTGCTAGTTCAATGTCCACAGTAAGCAAGTAAGTAAATGATTTGATGGCCGCAGGGGACCCCAGGACTCTTACCTGTCGTTCTCAGGAATCTCTTCCACATTGCCAAAGCCAGGTGTGGGCATTGGGCAGTCCATGTGTGAGGGTTGGGCAATGTGGGGCTCAGGGATGGGACTGTCGCCGGGAGAGGCCGCATGGGCTTTCTCCGCATCCAGCCGAGCCAGTTCGTGGTCACAGACGAAACACTCGAAGCCGTTGAGGTAGTTAGGCAGCAAAGGATCATTCAATCCCCACTCCCGATGCTTCAGACTATCCAGAAGGAATTGGTTGGTGATGCCCCCAGGTTGCTTGTATGCCAGGTATTTCATATATTCCTCATCATTCTTGTCCAGAAAGTCAATAAACTCTGCCAGCTTCTGTGGCGACTCAAAATCATCAATCAGAATGATGGAGTGATTGTTCGGCATCCAGTCTCTCACAGAGGGAGAGCCGCGGTACACGGGCACAGCGCCCAGATGCATTGGACGCCACAGTTTTTCTGTCATGTAGTCGTTACAGATAGCATTTTCCAGGGCCAAGTGGAACTTATAGCGGGACAAGAAGGCCAAGAGCTCTGGATCCTCGGTGGTGGCCGTGGCTGTGTCCTGTAGCCGCGCGGTGGGCAACTCCCGATTCTGCAGGCATTTCCCGTAGGAGTCTACCTGGAACGGGTAGAGTAGGGCGGTTAAGAGGGTGCGGCCGGGAGGCATGAACACCTGGAGTCCTGGCCTCAGCCCGCTCCCGCCCCCGCGCGCTCAGTCTTATCCAGCCTGCCCTCGCTTACCGGGATGTGGCGCATGAGCTCGCGCACGTAGCGGTCCCGGTCCGCGGGCACGTCGCAGTGGGACTGCAAATAGAGAAGCGGCGCGTAGCCGCGGCGCCGCCACTCCGCGCGTTCTTGGAGCGGAGGTACCGGACGGCGCAGATAGGCGGTCCCGGGCAGCCACTGCAGCGACAGCGGGTAATCTGAGTGCCGACTGAAAGTGGAGGTAAGATTGAAGAGGCGGATGCCCGGGCCGTGGCTCAACAAGAAGTTGTTAAGGGGCGACTCCTCGTGCAGGAGCGCCCAGCTCTGGTGTGCCAAGCGCGGCAGCGGCGCGTCAGACGCGCGGAAGTCGGTGCCATAGAAGAGCAGCGCGCGCGTCCGCGAGTCCCTCAGCGCTCGGCGGTTCCGGGACGCCACGCACGCCCCGCGCGCACACTCGATGCGCTCCGAGTCTCCCGAGAAGTGAGGGAACAGCCCTGGGCTCCACCACAGCAGCACTGGCAAGTCCCCTGCCTCCGCCCGCGCTGGCCGCGGGGTTCTGGGGCTGCGCGTCATCCCCACCGCGCCCAGCGCGGACGGCGGCCGGAAAACCGCGCCATCCCATGGTTCCGCCCACTCCGCCTCCCCGCGGGTTTCCTTCACCACCGGCCCAGAGCCGCTGGCTGCATAGACACTGAGCACCCCCAGGAGGGCCAACACCGCCCCAGTGGGGCCGTCCGCCATGTCCACTCTGGCAGCCGGAGCCCTCGGCCAGCTCGGGACCCCGCCCAGCGGCGAGTCATGATGGAAAGATACGCCACTGGTGCACGCGGCGCATGCGCAGCTCCGCTTAGCCGACGGCCAGGGCTAAAAGCAAAGTGAGCTTTTGGCAGTAAAGACGAGGCTAATGGTTACATCTTAATTTATTTTATTTCTTTACAAATTAAAGATGCATTGAAAAATAAACCAGTGAAGAGAAATGATAGGTCAAGAGCAGAGGCATCCCAGGCGGGGAGCAGGCAAGCCTGGCCACCATCAAGCCTAGCCCTTGTCCTGCCCCCAGCCAGTTGGGGTTGGAAGGTAACTGTCAGCCACTCAGTCAATACCAAAGCCCAAGCGGTGTCCCGGCGGGAGAGAACGACCCTCCAGCTGCCTCTGCCTCTCTCCCCAACAACCCCGGGCCTGGAGATGCAGTGTTTCTCGTGGGAGCTCAGAGTGGGACGTGAACTGGCTCTGTGAGGTATTGCAAGTTGATGACCAGGCTCCCTACAGAACCCTCCAGTGTTGGGGCCCCTCCAGCTGGAAAGGAGGCTGGCACCTCTCCAAGGTCTTAATATATTTTGTAAGTCAGGTCTCAGGTCATTCATCTCTGACAGTGTGTCTCTCTATCCATGGAGCGATCATCAATCATTGCAGGAGAGAGAGCAAGCAAGCGAGCAGTGGAAGCAGAGAAACCACCACCCTCAGTAACTGACTTGACTGCTAACCTCCAGGCCCAAAAAGGACTGGCCACTTTTCTCTCCACCACCAATGGGCTACATTCCAGCTCTTGTGCACCTGTATGTTTTATCCCTAATATAGGAAGTTGTTGATGACACTGAGCTGAATTAGCCGCCCCTGTAGTAACCTTAGGATGCCCACTCTTTCCTGCCTGCCCCTCTTTTCTTGGAGGCTGGTCCAAAGGGACACTTAATATTGCCAGGGTCTGGGTGCCTCCAAACCCAATACCGAATCATATACAGTGAACTGAGAAACTACATTCATTATGACAGGATTAGCAGGAAAAGGAGGGTAGACTGAGGGAACAGGGGCACCTTCTATCAGCAGGACATGACAGAGTGGTAGGATACTTGAGCCCAGAAAGAAGGTGTCTCCTTTTATCTCCCCCTCCCCGCAAAGAGACTGAGGTCGGCTTACATGACATAAGATATAGTACTGTCCTAATTTCTCTGACATCCTGGGGTGCTTTCTGGAAGCTGGCCTGGGACCCTATGCCATTTACCCACTTGCTTTAGCTCAGCAGCTGCCGAATTTCCTTGTGCATATGACAGAGAAAGTCCACATAGGATGCTCCCCCACTCAGACTCTTGTCTTCCACCAGGAAGTGCTTGAACAGCATCTCCAGCTTGTCCTCCTGTTTCACCACAATAAGCTATGGCCAGAATGCAGGGTTCATGAGGCAAGGCCAAAGGAAATTAAACATGCCCAGAAATCCCATTATGCAGTCACTTATTCATTCCCTACCCCACCCCCCACTTCCAGGTGAGGACTTGACAAGGTAAGAAATCCAGGGTTCAGATCAGTGTTACCTTCATGTACCGTGATCTCTGTGCTCTTAAGCTATCAATGAGGCCTTGAACCTTCTTGGAGAGTGGATTATCCAGAACTGGCAGAACACTCTAGAACACAAAATTCATTTATCCTTATGGTAAGGAACTCTGTAGTAAAGGTAGGGAGGCACATATATATGCATCATCTGCAACAAGGAAGCCTGGGAAGAATGACAGCAACTGCACTCATCCCCAGGTATTCCCTGATATTTGAGGCAACTAGCATATTAACTTTATTGGCTCCCAATCATTTCACAAAGTATACTTCCACACCCATATTCTCCTTGACTCCCTGCCCTCACCAAGCCACTGGTGATCTGACTGAAGGAGGAGACGCTGAAAAGGCTCTGGACAACACCCTGTTGGACGCTTGCTCCCACCCAGAGGAAAAGGTTGAGCCCATTCTCCAGCAAATATATATCCCCATTGCTTAGACGCTCTTCAGAGGCTCGAACTGCTGGTGGCTCGGTGGTACTCTCAATGGGAGATTTTGTCTAGACAAAAGGAAGGGAGCAAAACGTTACTAAGGACCATAAGACAAGTCTGGCCCCCACCACACACAAAATTCTGAAAGCTAAGTCCTCAGACACAACCCCTTATGGGGTCTTAGTAACTTTCTCAGTGTGAAAATTGTATCAGCTAAAATACATAAAAACAAATTCCACTAGTGTCAGATATTAGCTTATCCTTTCCTCCCTCTAAGAGGCCCTTTGCTCCGTGTAAGATCTCATGCTCCAACCCTCAATCACACCAAAGGTAGGAGCCGAGGGTAGAAGAAGACATTGGTCTCAGCAACATCCATGGAGGTAACTAGCTGTCGGACATAGGCACGGTCATCAGTAGTGACTTCAGCTCCAGGCTGCAGGACATCACTCTTCAACACACAGTTCAGGTAAACTGGGAGTAGCTTCATGCACTCAGGAAGGATCAGCTGAGGGGGTTATCAAAATAAAGTCAATGATCATGAGAAATCCTTCCCAAATGCAAACATCTGTCCCAACAAGCCCACCTCCCACTAATGTACTTGCCCCACCTGTCCTGCAGAGGAGGGGCTAGCGCAGTTCTTTCTGTAACAGGCCAGAATCTGGGCACACTGGGTGATGAGAGTGTCACGAACAGCCTTCACAGGGCTATTTAGGACTCCCCGATATGCTGGATGGGAAAGTGAAGATAGTCACTGGTCAGCCACCCATCATATGTGCTTTCCTACCATCACAACTACCCACTGACCATCCTGGGCCTCTTGGTTCCAGTCCCACCATTCCCTGCCTCTACCCTCACCAAACTTGGCCATGTAGTTGATGAGCGTGTCAGTCTCACAGTTTCGATACAGATCAGCCAGCTGGGTGCAGCAGTTCAGGGCCAGGTTATGGATGCGGAGCCGACGCTGCCCTGCACAGCTGGTGTAAAGCAGGGCACACTAGGGGAAAGGAAAAAGAGGGAACTCACATCCCTCCCTCACAAAGGCCTTTTGCCACATTATTAAACTAGAAATGAGCCACTCCCCTGTCCAGTCTCTTCCGGTCCTCTCTATCCACACCTCACCCTCTTCTATACCCAGCTAATGACACACTTCCTGTCCAGCCCCGCCTCCCGCCTGCCACCTGCAGGAGGGCTCCGCTTTCTTCATTGAGCCGATCATCATGCTTGAACTCCACAGTCACCGTTTTGTCCCCATCTAGCCCTGCCAGCTCCACATCTGTCGTGTTGCTCATGTAGAAAGCGCCAAAGAAGTCTACAGCACGGATACCTGAGGCCACATGGACAGGGTCAGGGCAAAACGTATGACAAGTGCCACATGCCTCCCTCCCAGATTTAGCCCCCCACCTGCTCGTCTCCAACCAGGACTGACCAGTACTTGTCCGGACCCGCATCACAGCATCAAAGGCAACAACCTTCTGGACATTACGACGCAGGTCACTCAGGAACCGCTCCTGGTCGTTCTCCACCTGCAGGCCCCCAGGCCCAGAGTCATATCACTGACTAAACATAGATCATCCTGCGGACAATCTCCCTGTACCCCTTCTACTCTACAGGCCACTTAATTATCATCATAACAACAGTGGAAATAATGATGATGACGATAATAGCTTTTCAACACTTAGACTGCATGCCAGGTACCACAGAATGCTTTATATATGATTATTTAATTCTGTACACAAATCCTAATTAAGTATTTTAACCCCATTTTGCAGGTGAAGGAACAAAAGAGGGAATACTTAAGTAATTTATCCTAGGTCACGTAGCTAGTAAGTGGTAGGGCCAGAATATCAATGCAGAACTGATTCCAAGGCCCAGTTCCTAACTGCTGCATTCTCAGGCTCATTTCTTTATACTATTTGGTCTTCTCTTCCAATACTACTTCTTTTTTTGGGGGGACAGAGTCTCACTCTATGGCCCAGGCTGGAGTGCAATGGCATGATTTCAGCTCACTGCAACCTCTGCCTCCCGGGTTCAAGGGATTCTCCTGCCCCTTCCTCCCAAGTAGCTGGGATTACAGGTGCCCACCACCAAACCCAGCTAATTTATTTTTAGTAGAGATGGGGTTTCGCCATGTTGGCCAGTCTGGTCTTGAACTCCTGACATCAGGTGATCTGCCTGTCTCAACCTCCCAAAGTGCCGGGATTACAGGCATGAGCAACCATGCCCGGCCCCAACACTATTTGAATTAATGAGTCAACCACTCCATATATAAGCAGATATTCCCAGCCCTGCTGCCACCTGCCACCCAGAATCCCACGCCATACCTGAAAGCAAGCATATTTGTAGACAGAGCCACCAGTGAGCTGGGGCACAACAGAGAGTGTGGCCACATCCACATACTGGTTAGGGAAGAGGAAGAGATCTATACAGCAGCCTTGGGCCACACACTCTTTGGCCAGGGTCTGATAGGCACCTGTCTGAGGCTGGAATAGAGTCTGGGGAGGAGCAGAAGAAAATGTTCAAGTATGTCAGCTCTGCTCTATTTGAGAACTGTATATCTAACATGAGATACTCAAATTCATGGAAGACTTCAGATGTAGGATTTTGCAATAGTAGTAAAAAAGTTCTCTTTTACATTATTTTTATTTTTTTGAGACAGGGTATCACCCTGTCACCCAGGCTGGCACATAGTGGCGTGATCTTAGTTCACTGCAACCTCTGCCTCCCAGGTTCAAGCGATTCTCCTGCCTCAGCTTCCCAGGTAGCTGAGATTACAGGTGTGTGCCACCACACCTGGCTAATTTTTGTATTTTTAGTAGAGACAGGATTTTGCCATGTTGGTCAGGCTGGTCTCAAACTCCTGGCCTCAAAAACCCGTCCTTCGTGGCCTCCCAAAGTGCTGGGATTACAGGCATGAGCCACCATGCCCGGCCAAAAGTTCTCTTTTGAAAAATAAATAGAAGAGTCTACCAACAGCATTGGCAAGGAATGGAGTAGAGAGGTGTGGCAGCAGTGGAAGTTGGCAGTCACAGATATGGTTTTGAAAGAGTGGAATGTCTGATCCTATCCCCCATCAAGAAAGTAGAGTCCCCACTTCTTCTGTAATAAAAAATCCTTCCCCTCCACCATTTTCCAGCCCCACACCTTCTCCTTGTCTGTGTTGATCAGCTTCCTGTCATCTCTGTTCTTCAGTTTCCCTGGGGCCTCTGCAATAGGCAGGGATGTATGGAATAGAAAGAGCTTCCCTGCACACTCAGCAGCCTAGGAAAAAAGAAAGGACTACTTGTTTATTCTTTATTTATCCATCCCTTCCCTTGTCATTTATTAAGCACCAACTATGTCAGACAGTCTAACTTACTGGACAGTCATGAACTATTAAAGAGAGAGAGGTTGTATCCCAGGGGATAAGATGGTCAGAGGAAAATGAGTTAGAGGAGATTGCCAGATATTCCAGCCTTACCTTCAGAGCCTCTATCCCAGCCTGGATAACTGGGACAAATACTGTTTCTGTTTCTCTTGTGTCTGCAAACATTTCTGGAATTTGATCCAATAAGCTAAAGAGATAGGTGACGGAAGACAACCAAAATTGTTATCCAGATTCCAGATGCCTCAGTTCTCAATTCCCTAGAGTCATAAGGCCTCTAGACTCTGACAACTCCTTTGCCACAGCCCCTTTCTATCTACTGTCCAACACCTCTGCTCAACTCCATGACCTTCTATGATGGTACCCATGCCACCCCCAACCTTTACCTCCACAATATGGCTCTTACCTGGTGATAACTGCCCGAGACTCATTGACGTTGACCAGGAAGCCATCCAACAGTGGCACAAACATGTCTGCCACATCAGACACAACCATCATCTGTGGCTGGGCCAATGAGCTCTTCACATTGTAGAAGTGGAGCACCTTATTGTAGGTGACAAAGCCAACGCGGATTGCTGACTCTTCTGCCCCACCCTCCCTGTAGAAGGTGACACTGTTACCTAGACTTGCCACCTTTTCCAACACCCACAACTCCATGACATCAGGCTACATCTCTTCAGTCAACCCAGACACCCTATCATTAACCCCAGGAAACACCTCAGTTCTGTAACTCTTACCTAGGTAGAAAGTCTAACAGTGACTTGAGCTCCTCACAGAGGAGCCTAACAAGACCAGTCCTGATGGCATTGTAGGAGACATCAATCATGAAGATAAAGGCAGGAGGGCTGGGGAACTTATTGTTCTGCAGAGGAAGAAAATGTTGGGGGAGGGGGTACTGGTAAGCAGGCCAGTTGACTGAGAGAATCAGCATCAAAAGGGACAAAAAAGGGGTGAGGGAAACAATAACAGCCATTCTTAACTGTCTCATTATCCTCCACCCACTGCTCCTCCCATGCTACCTTCCCTCACCTTGCAGTAATCTACGGTGGCCAAGAATTCGTAAGAGCCCAGGGATAGCTCAGGACGGTCATAAGCATCCACACGTTTGCCGGTATGATCCAGGTGCTGAAAATACTGAGGGGGAACTGTAGGGAGCATGGCAGTGTGTTACTTGAAGATCCACTTTCAATCTTAGTACATCTGGCCCTAGCTGAGCTTACTCCCCTGTCCCCCATTCTCGTGCCCTACCTTCCCCAGCTCCTGAAAAATGGACCCTAATCTCTCTATTAATAGAGAACAACGAAGATGCAATCAAGACCTTCCCCCAAATCCCAGCTTCCATAAACATACCATCATTGATACAGCTGCAAAAACAGCACTGGAAGCGCCTCCCTCCTTCAATGAACTGCATAAAGGGGCACATGTATGCTTTGCAGCGGTTGCAGCGCAAAGGGCCAGATTCCCCATGGTCCACAACATATGGTGAAGCCTAAGGATCAAAGGGGAGGGGATCAGACATAAAGGAAAACTACAGTAGGTTCAGACATGTGGCAGGAGATGAGGAGAAACAACCAGAGGGAGAAGGGGCATGGCGCAGGTATTTTGTCTGCAGAGAGAGTAGGGAGTACAGTGATGAAAGGGAGTATAAATCACAGGAAAATGTCCCTATGAGTAAAAATTATATAGTTCCCCCTTCCTACACTCTACCCTCAGAGCTCCATTTCTTTTTTTTTTTTTTTTTTTTTTTTTGAGACGGAGTTTTGCTCTTGTTACCCAGGCTGGAGTGCAATGGCTCGATCTCGGCTCACGGCAACCTCCGCCTCCTGGGTTCAGGCAATTCTCCTGCCTCAGCCTCCTGAGTAGCTGGGATTACAGGCACGCACCACCATGCCCAGCTAATTTTTTGTATTTTTAGTTGAGACAGGGTTTCACTATGTTGACCGGGATGGTCTCGATCTTTTGACCTCGTGATCCACCCGCCTCGGCCTCCCAAAGTGCTGGGATTACAGGCTTGAGCCACCGCGCCCGGCTAGAGCTCCATTTCTTACTGGAAGACAAGAGGAACTGCAAAACTGGCCATATCAGACCAGGGGCTGCCACGAGCATATGAGGAAGAAAGCCAAAATTATCTAAAATTCTCCTTTCTGGCCCCATCTCTAATCCCCTTCACTCTTGCTCTAGGGATCCTGACTCCAGCTTCCTTTCCTAACCAAGTATCTATAACACCTCCTCCCCTATCCCTGGGATTGTGCCAGCTACTGATGCCCCAAGCAAATGTCACCCTACACATAAGAGACCAATGCCCAACTATCCCCAGTGGGATCCAAACAAAAATACTCAAACACAGAGAGGAAGACAGAGAGAGAAGCAGAATATAAACTGAGCCCTGGGCTTCTAGTAATAGAAAACCCTATCCTAAGATAAGCAAGGCTGAATATGAGTGTCCTACAAAGGCCTGGTGGAACAGCTGCCTAGCTTCTCTCTTTATGCTAATATCAGGTACTGGGGTGACAGATCAGGTCCCAAAACAGGTGAGAGAAGGATCACGGGATCCTAATCTATCTTTTCTCTTATATGGTGTTCTAACAGCCCTAACATGGGATGACAGGATAGTCAGAAGAACATAGAATGATGTCCTTATCATCTGGAGAGGACAATGATAAAGAGAGGTTCCTATATTCAGCTGTCTTCTCCCCTACAATTTGGCCCTACCTCTTTTCATTTCCCTTGTTCCCTCTAAGGACCCTGTTCCTTCCCAGCAATGTGTTGGGCTTTTGCTTGCATCCTTACCATCCCCTCTCCAGGCATGAGCCCTGGGATAAAAAGCTACTAAAGATATTCTTCTTTCTTGCCCAACTAAAATATCTTCCATTGTGAGGTCAGAATCATATCCAGGAAAAAGCTTTAGTCCTCTCCCTCCGTCCCTCCCTCCCTCCCTTTCATTACACTCTAGCCCTTTCCCTGACTCACCTCGTCTGGGGGCAGCCTTGCCAGCGGCTTGATGACTGCTGCCAGGGGCACCTGAGCCTGCTTAGCCATGTCAGATGTACAGGGGATATTATAGGATGTACATCGGATGTATCGGGGACTTGCATTCCCTGAAGGAGGAGGCAGAAGACCCCAGTCAGATCACAGAATCCTTCTAAACACCAGCTCTCCATTGGTGATCCACACCATCAACTCCACAAAGCTAGAAGTGATAGTGGCTTTTCCCCCAGAGGGACTGGAGGGAACTTGTCTCTGGTTAAAATCTTTTTTAAAAAGCCCTATTCATAAGCTGATAATCTTGAAGAAACAGCCCCTGTGGGAGGAGCTAATTCCATTCTCACTCACCTTGGTCTTTCACCAGGAAGTTGGTAGTGACTAAGGGTGGCACCTGGCCCCGAACTCCAGTAACAAATGGCTCTGTACCCCGGTTGTTCCTGTCATCTTCAATGACCTGAATCTGCAGAGAAGTGAAATGAGTGAGGTGACAGAAGAAAATGAAGTGTCAGGTCCCAGAGTGCCAAGAGAAAAAAAGGCTAGAACTGTAACACAAAAACTAAAAATTTGCCAAGGAATACCTCATGCACCAGGCCTGTTTTCCTTCTGGAGATCATATAAAATGCTGCAATGCCAATCTTTCACTCTACAGCAGCAAAATGTGGGGCAGTCAACATGCGAATGGGCTTCTTTATGAATTGCCCCCAACCCCCCATCAATGGTGAACACCTTCTCATTCCTCCCATTCCAGGAAAGCCCCGCTGTGATCACAAAACTTCCCATTCCAGGAAAGCCCCGCTGTGATCACAAAACTTCATACATGATTAGATTCCACTCCCCTCCCGCATCAAGACTTCTCCCCTCCTCTCCCCAAGACACATTCTGGGTCAGAGCAGGAAAACAGACAACAGTAACCATGTAAAAATGAATCTACCTGGAATGACTCTACACTCAATGAAATTACAAGGGACAGGGTGAGGAGAGATTTAAACAGCCAGAAATGATCAAGTAAGGTGAGGAAGCAGATGCTGCCTTACTTTTTCAGGTTAAGCATCAATGTGTATATATAGGAGGAGAGGATAAGTACCCAATCCGTATAGCTCAATCCTCAGTCCTCCACATTTTGACAGACTCAACAAAGGAACCTGCAAAGCTGGTATTCAGACCTTTATGCAGGCTCATGATCTTTGGTCAGTTACTTCAAGATGGGTTTGGAAAACTAGAAAAAGCAAAGTGCAAATGAGACTCTGTATCCCATAGCAGAAAGGGTTGAAGCTTAGAAATATATCAAGAGTCAAAAAGACTCTTCAGATTAGAAAGTGTGCATACTTTCCCAAACCAGCAGTCCCTTCTCCTGTAAGAAATGCCAGTTTGGGATGCCATGAACCTGTACGTTCCTACCCTAATATTTCTCCAAAACAGGCTACAGAAAAATCCGAAGTGGAATGATCTACTATTCAACTTGGTCCTCTTCCATCACACCACATGTAGGCTCCTGGAGGAGCCAGCAGGACTAAGGCCAAAGCTTGACATGCCACATGACCCCACCCTTAGAGCCTGACCTTCCACCACCCCATACTCAAGGCAAACAGCTTGCTACCTCTTCATTACATGGTGATTTGAGGCATGCATATCCTTTTAGCTTGTACAAGTGAGTATCTAAAAGGACTAGGGCTAAAGGAAGAGAATGGAGAGGAATGGACATGGTGGATGAGGTGAAGATGAGGTCACAAGCATGCATGGATGGCACTAACACAGAAATGACATGCACAAACACCCACCCCCTGCACTTACTGGACTAGGAATGGCATCAGGGTCTATTCTGTGCCTGGTTTTCTGCTGAGGAGGCAGCTCATTGAGTTGCTTTTAGTGTTTTAATAAAAAAGGTAGCAGGGGAACACAGGAAGGAAGACAAAAGAACAAGAGGCAGATGTTACTTCTCTCAACCCTGTTGAGTCAGATATGAACAGCTGGAACCCAGCTTATACTGCTGAAATCAAGCCCCCTCTAGACATGAAATTCCAAGTCTTTCTGGCCCAACACAGAGGCTTTAATGGCTCAGACTATGATGTAGAAAGATAAGGAAAGGGGCAAACAGGAGGTAAGTAGGAGTTATACAGGGAGGGGCTGAGGCTGAATGGAAGAAAACTTAAGGAAGAAGAAGAGGAATGTTCCCCCTAAAAGGTCAAACCTCCCATTCTAAGGACTAGTCTTATGCTGAAAGAAGCCTCCCCTCACATCTAGTCAGACTCTCCTTCTCACTGAAGGAGAGGGAAGGAAGGAGAGGCTGCTTAATCTTCTTGGGTTCTCCTTGGCCAACAGGCTCCCTCACTGTGGTAGTTACCCAAAGGAGGAAGACAGAAGAGAACAGAATGGAATATGGCAATGGCTAAGCATGGCAAGGTAACTGACATAGCAAATGTTACAGACAGAACTATAAAGTGGCCCCTACTTGGCAGTACAGTCCTGGTCTCTATTCTGAGTCTGATAAGGAGGGCCTGAGGATTCTGACGGCTCCAAGGATGCAATTCACTCTCTTCCTGGGAAAAGCAGCTTCTCCAGTGGGACTTTACATACACACTGCCCTCAAAAACTTGTTAACTCTTCCCCATCCACACAGCAGGAGCCTACCAAACAAAAGTACTGAGGAATTCCTCCTAAAACTGTCCAAGTAAGAGCAGAGAAACCAGTGAGGCTCTCCTTCTCTTAACATCTAACATCAGAGAATTCCCACCTGCTCTACTCATTAGGAAGAATGCCATCCTTCTAGATCTAAGGGGACAAGACCCAGCCACTGCTCCTTAGAAGGACAAAGGCTACCATACTATGTATGTCCAGTAGTGACAGAGTGCAGCCCTCAACTCAGAGCTCTACTGGTGCTGGTTTGGCTTCCTTTCCTTCTCTGCCTACCTATAGAATAAAACGGCCCCCCAAAAGACTCCTGGAACCTCAAGTTCCAGTTCAGAGTCAAAAAATTATATGTAAGTTCTCCAAGAAGATGAAGAAAAAGGGAAAATTATCAGAAAATGCTAGGCAAACATTTCATTTAGATTGACCTGCCTATTTGGCAGGCACAAACCCTTCTCCAGGACCATGTAAGTGTCTACTTACAGGGCTTGGGATGGCATCAGGGTCCAGGCGCTTAGGAGGCAGTGGCTGAGGAAGCCCAGGCTGACTGCCAAAGGTGGGTGCTGCTGGGTAGGGGCTTCCATAATTAGGCTGAGGGCCCCGGGCTGATCCAAAGGAACCTGAGAGAAGGGCACAAGGTTGGTGAACTCAAAATCCCCTCCCCATCTCTTCTTAAGGTCTCAGGAAAATGACTAGACTTCTATGAACATAGAATTATGAGGTACACTAATGCCTGGCAAAGCCATTCAGAAGAAGACTATGTTATCTGAACCACAAGAAAAAATAATGTCTTATAAACCCCATATCCTAGGAATAATACTCTGAAGCTGCCCATCTAATTTCATCACTTAGCAAGTAATACTAAAAACAAACAAATAGGCCGGGCGCAGTGGCACAAGCCTGTAATCCCAGCACTTTGGGAGGCCGGGGCAAGTGGATCACCTGAGGTCAGGAGTTAAAGACCAGCCTGAACAACACAGTGAAACCCCGTCTCTACTAAAAATGCAAAAATTAGCCGGGCATGGTGGTGCATGTCTGTAATCCCAGCTACTGGGAAGGCTCAGGCAGGAGAATCGCCTGAACCCAGAAGATGGAGGTTGCAGTGAGCCGAGATCACACCACTGCACTCCAGGCTGGGCAACAAGAGTAAAACTCCTGTGGGGGTGGGGAAGGGGAGTAAACAACATCAAAAACCACCTAAGTAGCCGAAGCCCCTAGCTTCTAGACAGACCGTGGGAAAGACTCACCATTTTGTTGGGGCTGATAGCCTGGCTGCTGCGGGGAGTGCATAGGTGGCGGTGGTCCCAGGAGCCCAGTCATCTGGGTGCCAGGGGGCAGAGCTTGAGGAGGAGGTGAGGACACATGGTTGGGCTGGCTCACTGAGGGTGCTCCAAAACCCTGTCCAGGCAGGAGTGGACCAGTCACTGAAGGCAGCCGAGGACCCCCTGAAGCTGGGGGTGTGAAGCTGGAGGCCTGTGATGGGGCAGATCGCTGGGGAGTCTGGATCCCGGGATGACCTTGGGCCTGGCTAACAGGAGAAGCCTGGCCCTGAGGATAGGAGCCATACAGACCAGAGTTAGGGAAACTTCCTGAGGCTGAAGCCAGCGATGTCGGTGGGCCTGAGAAGTAGAATAAACGTAGAGTAAGAAGCCTGGTCATTCTGCCTCCTTGTTAGGTAAATCAGTTCCCTTTCCACACAAGAGGGGCAGGTATGACTGTCCCATTTTCTAGGCTCAGAGGCACAGGAAATACAAGGGAAATAAAAGAGATTCAGGTATAACCCCAGAGCCTGATGCCTCTGAAAAGGGGACAGTAACAGTCCTGTGGTCACAGCTACTCACCATAGCCCAGCTCTGAAGAGGGAGGGGCTGGGGCGACAGCACTGCTAATCTGCATTCCAGCCAGCTGCGCAGTCACCTGTGCACTTGTCGGGGGAGGGCCGTAGGGCTGAAGCACAGCTGGCTGGTTGCCCACAGGGGCCAATGGGGACCCAAATGGCTGAGACCCAGGCAGCCTGTGAAAAGAAGGAAAGCAGAAGTGACCAGTGGGTCTGGGACACCCTTTGAAGTCAGCAGAAGCTTGGCATCCAGAGAAAGCTACATTGTTTTGTGGCACCTTACTCTCATCCTGAGCTCTTTTATGGCTTCATAATTTTGTATATTTGTGGGGAAATTATATTACTGATAATCTACACTGTGATTATTCATGGCAAATCTTGTTTTCCATTAAGTTCACTCCACAAACATATACTGACCACCCTCAGGTCAAGTACTATTTACTCTGCTAGCTAAATTATTGCCTCCTCTGCTTCAATTCTTTGACAAATCTCTCCTCAGTTTTGTAATCTGAAGCCCTGAAAGCATTGGAAGGGAAGTCACACATAAGCGTGTATGAACCTTAATAAATATGAAATCAAACAAATGCAGATTGATTTTCCAGCTTTTTTTTTTTTTTTTTTGAGACAAGGTCTCACTCTGTCACCCAGGCTAAAGAGCATCAGCATGGTCACGGCTCATTGCAGCCTCAACCTTCCAGCTCAGGTGATCCTCCACCTCAGCCTCTTGAGTAGCTAGGACCAAAGGCATGCACCACCATGCCTGGCTAATTTTTGTATTTTTTGTAGACATGGGGTATTGCCATGTTGTCTAGGCTGGTCTTAAACTCCTGAGCTCAACCAATCCACCTGCCTCAGCCTTCCATAGTGCCCTTCCAATATACTTTCCATTCAGTGCCTCCCTCTCTGATTATTCCCATCAGCACAAAAACATACAAACATCTCACACACACACAAAAAAAACTATCGTGGAAACATCCCAAATGTCCATCAGCAGAAGAATGGAAAAATAAAATGTGGCATATAGCTACACAATGAAAAACCACTTGGCTGCAAAGAGGAATGGAGTACTGATATATGCTACAACATAGTTGAACTTTGAAAATATCATGCTAAATTAAAGAAGTCAGTTATAAAGTATCACATAGTATATTATTCCATTCTAATGAAAGTCCAGAAGAGGGAAATCTTTAAAGACAGAAAATAAATCAGGAGTTGCCTAGGGTTGGAAATATAGGGGAATGGGGGAATAGCTAAACAGGGGTAGCTAAAGAATGCAGTATTTCTTTTTCAGATGATGATGAAAATGTTCTAAAACTGACTGTAGTGATATCTGTCAATATACTAAATTGTGACAGCACATATCTGTCAACATATTAAAACCACCAAATATACAAAAACACTTTAAATAGGTGAATTGCACAGCATATGAATTATATCTCAAAAAGCTTTTTTAAAAATCCAACCAAATTACCCCATAGCCTCCTCAAAGTTTTGCTCCCCTTTTAGCTAAACGTTACAAAAAAGTAAGTCTATACTCTGTCGCTACTTCCTTTTCTTTTTTTGAGACAGGGTTTCGCTCTGTCACCCAGGCTGGAGTACAATGGCACTACCTGTGGCTCACTGCGGCCTTGACCTCCTGCGCTCAAGCAGTCCTCTTGCTTAAGCCTCCCCTCCCAAGTATCTGGGACTACAGGCACGCACCACCAAGCCTAGTTAATTTTTTTTATTTTTTGTAGAGACAAGGTCTTGCTATGCTGCCCAAGTTAGTCTCAAACTCCTCGGCTGAATCAATCCTCCCACCCTGGCCTCACAAAGTGCTGGGATTACAGACATGAGCATTGTGCCTGCCCTGACTCTAACCAAAATTCCTTCCTAAGAATCCTTTCCAATCTGGGTTGAGGTGTGGTTGTTCTACATTTGTTTCTAGAAGGTACTCCAGTAACAATATTGTCACCCTAGATTAATTTTTGTTTTAGTTTTTTGAAACAGGGTCTCACTCTGTCACCCAGGCTACAGTGGAGTGGAGCCATCGTTGCTCACTGTAGCCTCAACCTCCAGGGCTCTAGTGATCCTCCTGCCTCTACCTCTGCTTCCCAAGCAAACCAACAATGCCCAGATTTTTTTTTTTTTTTTTTTTTTTTTTGATAGAGATAGGATCTTACTATGTTTCCCAGGCTGGTCTCAAACTTCTGGCCTCAAGTGATCCTCCTGTCTCAACCTCCCAAGGTGTTAAGATTATAGGCATGAGTCACCATACCTGGCCTCAAATTAAAAAAAAAAATTAGGCCAGGTATGGTGGCTCATGCCTGTAATCCCAGCACTTTGGGAGGCCAAGTCAGATGGATCATTTGAGGTCAGAGTTTGAGACCAGCCTGGCCCCATCTCTACTAAAAAAAAAAAAAATACAAAAATTAGCCCGGGCATAGTGGTGCACACCTGCAATGCCAGCTACTCAAGAGGTTGAGGCAGAAGAATCACTTAAACCTGGGAGGTGGAGGTTGCAGTGAGCCAAGATCAGGCCACTTCACTCCAACCTGGGTGACAGAGCGAGACTTTGTCTCAAAAAAACCAAAAAACAAAAACAAAAACCATGATGGCTGGGCACAGTAACTCATGCCTGTAATCCCAGCACTTTGGGAGGCCAACATGGGTGGATCACTTGAGGTCAGTTCAAGACCAGCCTGGCCAACGTGGTGAAACCCTGTCTCTACTAAAAATACAAAAAATTAGCCAGGTGTGGTGGCACATGCCTGTAATCCCAGCTACTTGGGAGGGTGAGGCAGGAGAATCGCTTGAACCTTCGAGGCAGAGGTTGCAGTGAGCCAAGATCATGCCATTGCACTCCAGCCTGGGCAATAAGAGCAAAACTCTGTCTCAAAAAAAAAAAGAAAGAAAAAATTATTGAGATGTAATTTCCATACCATTAAATTCACTCTTTGTAAGTGTACAATGCAATAATTTTTAGCAAACTTATAGTTATGCAACCATCACCAGAACCATATTTTATAACATTTTCATCATTCCAAAAAGATCTGTCATGCTCATGTGCAGTCCCAAGAACTCTTTTTTTCCACCCGTCCACAGCCAGCCTGAGAGAAACAGGACTCCTTCTTTTTTTTTGAGGTGGAGTTTCGCTCTTGTTTCCCAGGCTGGAGTGCAATGGCGCGACCTCGGCTCACCGCAGCCTCCGCCTCCTGGGTTCAAGCAATTCTCCTGCCTCAGCCTCCTGAGTAGCTGGGATTACAGGCACGCGCCACCATGCCCAGCTAATTTTTAGTATTTTTAGTAGAGATGGGGTTTCACCATGTTGACCAGGATGGTCTTGATCTCTTGACCTCGTGATCCACCCGCCTCGGCCTCCCAAAGTGCTGGGATTACAGGCTTGAGCCACCGCGCCCGGCCCAGGACTCCTTCTTATCTCCCTCTTCTAGTGTGCAGATTTTTTTCCCCTAGTTGACTTGTCCATTGAAGGTGCAGCCCAGGTCCAAACTATAAACAATGTCTAAGTTCCAAAACTCCTCTCAGGAAAGCCCAAGGACTCACCTCCCTTCCCTAGTACCTGCATAAATTTAAAGCCGTGGCTTCCCAAGATGATGAATCCGCCTAGTCTACAGGTAGCCTCAGAGTCAATTTGCCACTCTGATTTTCAATCCTCACTTGATGGCCAAGCACAGTGACTCACGCCTTAACTCCAGCAGTGTGGGAGGCAGAGGCAGGCAGATCACCTGAGGCCAGGAGATCGAGACCAACCTGGACAACATGGTGAAACCCCATCTCTACTAAAAATAAAAAATTAGCCGGGTGTGGTAGCTCATGCATGTAGTCCCAGCTACTTGGGAGGCTTAGGCAGGAGAATCACTTGAACCAGGGAGGTGGAGGTTGTAGTGAGCCGAGATCACACCACTGCACTTCAGCCTGGGCAACAGAGCAAGACTCCATCTCAAAAAAATATATATAGCCGGGCGCGGTGGCTCAAGCCTGTAATCCCAGCACTTTGGGAGGCCGAGGCGGGTGGATCACGAGGTCGAGAGATCGAGACCATCCTGGTCAACATGGTGAAACCCCGTCTCTACTAAAAGTGCAAAAAATTAGCTGGGCATGGTGGCACGTGCCTGTAATCCCAGCTACTCAGGAGGCTGAGGCAGGAGAATTGCCTGAGCCCAGGAGGCAGAGGTTGCGGTGAGCCGAGATCGTGCCATTGCACTCCAGCCTGGGTAACAAGGGCGAAACTCCGTCTCAAAAAAAAAAAAAAAAAAAAAAAAAAAAAAATATATATATATATATATATATATATATATTTTTTTTTTTCAGTCCTCACTTGGTCTTTAAAACTTAAAATGTCACATTTCTTTTAAGCTTAACTTTGCACTTAAAATTTTTTTGTTTCTGTTTTCTCTCTCCTTTCTACATGTTGGTAGCAGACAGTTTTCAGATATGTCAATCCACCACCTGACCAAAACTCTTTGACTAACTCCAACTGGGCAGTTTTCTTCATCTCTACACTGAAACTGCATTTATCAATGATGCCAAGCTTGCTGAATCCAATGGTCAATTCTGAGTCTTCATCTTACCATTCAGCAGGACCCAAAACAGCTGATTGTCGGGTGTGTTCACCCAACAATCTCTTCACCTGATTTCAGGACACCACACTCTCCTGGATTATCTCCCACCTCACTACTACTCTTTCTTATTGTCTTTTTTTGTTTTTTGTTTGATATGGGGTCTTACTCTGTCACCCAGGTTGGAGTGCAATGGTGCGATCTTGGCTCAATATAACCTCTGCCTCTTGGGTTCAAGCCATCCTCCCACCTCAGCCTCCCAAGTAGCTGGGACCACAGGTATGTGCCACCACACCTTGCTAATTTTGTATTTTGGTAAAGATGGGGTTTTGCCTTGTTGCCCAGGCTTGTCTTCAACTCCTGAGCTCAATTAATCTGACTGCCTCAGCCTCCCAAAGTGCTGGGATTACAGGCATGAGCCACTGCACCTGAACTCTCATTGTCTTTTGATGGTGGCTCCTCTTTACTTTTATTTATTTATTTTTGAGATAGAGTTTCGCTCTTGTTACCCAGGCTGGAGTACAATGGCTCGATCTCGGCTCACTGCAACCTCCGCCTCCTGGGTTTAGGCAATTCTCCTGCCTCAGCCTCTTGTGTAGCAGGGATTACAGACACATGCCACTACACCAAGCTAACTTTTTGTATTTTTTTTTTTTTTTTTTTTTTTTTTTTGAGACGGAGTTTCGCTCTTGTTACCCAGGCTGGAGTGCAATGGCGCGATCTCGGCTCAACCTCCGCCTCCTGGGTTCAGGCAATTCTCCTGCCTCAGCCTCCGGAGTAGCTGGGATTACAGGCACGCGCCACCATGCCCAACTAATTTTTTGCACCTTTAGTAGAGACGGGGTTTCACCATGTTGACCAGGATGGTCTCGATCTCTTGACCTCGTGATCCACCCGCCTCGGCCTCCCAAAGTGCTGGGATTACAGGCTTGAGCCACTGCGCCCGGCGCATTTTTTGTATTTTTAGTAGAGATGGGGTTTCACCATGTTTACCAGGATGGTCTCGATCTCTTGACCTCATGATCCACCTGCCTCGGCCTCCCAAAGTGCTGGAATTACAGGTGTGAGCCACTGCACCCGGCCGACTCCTCTTTACTTTTAAATGTTGGTAACCTCCAAGTCTCAATCTCAATTTCATTCTTTAATCCCAATGCTCACTTTCTAAATGATTTCATCTAGTCCCATGGCTTTAAATATCTATAGACTGAGGACTCTCAAATTTTTATCTACAGTCCTAACATCAGACTTGAGCTGCAGATTTGTCTACACATCTGCCTACCTAACATCTCTACTTGGATAGAGTTTATATGAGGGACTTAGGCATTTGTGGATTTTGGTATCTGTTAGTCGGGGGAGGTCCTGGAACCATTCCTCAACAGATACTGAGGAATGACTATAGTGAGATTTTGAATACATTTTGAAGGTGGAGTCAAAAGAATTGGATGTGGGTTATGTGGTATCATATTTGCATATAACCTACACATATCCTCCTATATACTTTTTTTTTTTTTTGAGCTGGAGTCTTGCACTGTCGCCTAGGCTGGAGTGCAGTGGCATGACCTTGGCTCACTGCAACCTCCACCTCCTGGGTTCAAGCAATTCTCCTGCCTCAGCCTCCCGAGTAGCTGAGATTACAGGTGCCTGCCACCATGCCTGACTAATTTTTGTATTTTTAGTAAAGATGGAGTTTCACCATGATGACCAGGCTGGTCTTCAACTCCTGACCTCAGGTGATCCATCCACCTTGGCCTCCCAAATACTGGGATTACAGGTATGAGCTACCATGCCCTGCCTCCTCCCATATACTTTAAATCATCTCCAGATTACTTATAATACCTAATACAATGTATATCAGGGATGTTCAATCTTTTGGCTTCCCTAGACCACACTGGAAGAAAATTTTCTTGGGCCACACATAAAATACACTAACACTACACTAACAGATGATGAACTAAAAAAAAAAAAAAAAAAAAATCTTATAATTTTTGTTTGTTTGTTTGTTTGTTTGTTTGTTTTTTGAGAAGGAGTTTCGCTCGTTACCCAGGCTGGAGTGCAATGGCGCGATCTCGGCTCACCGCAACCTCCGCCTCCCGGGTTCAAGCAATTCTCCTGCCTCAGCCTCCTGAGTAGCTGGGATTACAGGCACACGCCACCATGCCCAGCTAATTTTTGTATTTTTAGTAGAGACGGGGTTTCATCATGTTGACCAGGATGGTCTCAATCTCTTGACCTCATGATCCACCCGCCTCGGCCTCCCAAAGTGCTGGGATTACAGGCTTGAGCCACCGCGCCCGGCCTTGTTTTTCTTTTTTTTTGACACGGAGTTTTGCTTTTGTTACCCAGGCTGGAGTGCAATGGCACGATCTCGGCTCACCGCAACCTCCGCCTCCTGGGTTCAGGCAATTCTCCTGCCTCAGCCTCCTGAGTAGCTGGGATTACAGGTACGAGCCACCGTGCCCAGCTAATTTTTTGTATTTTTAGTAGAGACGGGGTTTCACCATGTTGACCAGGATGGTCTCAATCTCTTGACCTCGTGATCTACCCGCCTCGGCCCCCCAAAGTGCTGGGATAACAGGCTTGAGCCACCGCACCCGGCCCAGTATTTTAAGAAAGTTTATGAATTTGTGTTGGGCCACGTTCAAAACCGTCCTGGGGAATGGGGCATGCAGACGGTGGGCCACAGGCTGGACAAGCCTTAGGTAAACGTTATGTAAAGACTCCAAACTGAGGATATTCTTTGGGTTAACTGTTTCGTTTTTTTCAAAAGATAAACAGGAAGAAAAAGAAAACAGAGGTGGAGCCTATAGACCTAAAAGACACACCAAGTGTTTTTCTTGAAGGTAAAACTAAATTGTGGTATGTGGAGTTGAACATTTGAGTGCAAACTTTTTTTCTTTTTGAGACAGGGTCTCGCTCTGTTGCCCAAGCTCTGGAGGGCAGTGGCAAGATCACACTCACTGAGGCCTTGACCTCCTGGGCTCAAGCAATACCTCCACTTCAGCCTCCCAAAGTAGCTAGGACAACAGGCATGCCACCATGCCCAGCTAACGTTTAATTTTTTGTAGAAATGGAGATCTCCCTATGTTCCACAGGCTGGTCTCAAAAATCTGGGCTCAAGTGATCCTCTCACCTTGACCTCCCAAAGTGCTGGGAATATAGGCATGAGCCACCTCATCCAGCCAAGTGTAAACTATTTTTTAAAAACCACAAGAAAGTCAGCTGGGCGCAGTGGCTCACACCTGTAATCCCAGCACTTTGGAAGGCAGAGGCAGGCAGATCAATTGAGGTCAGGAGTTCAAGACCAGCCTGGCCAACGTGGCAAAACCCTGTGTCTACTAAAAATATTTAAAAAATTGGCTGTGCACCAGGCGCGGAGGCTCAAGCCTGTAATCCCAGCACTTTGGGAGGCCGAGGCGGGCGGATCACGAGGTTAAGAGATAGAGACCATCCTGGTCAACATGGTGAAATCCCATCTCTACTAAAAATACAAAAAATTAGCTGGGCATGGTGGCACGTGCCTATAATCCCAGCTACTCAGGAGGCTGAGGCAGGAGAATTGCCTGAACCCAGGAGGCGGAGGTTGCGGTGAGCCAAGATCGCGCCATTGCACTCCAGCCTGGGTAACAAGAGCGAAACTCCGTCTCAAAAAAAAAAAAAGAATATGCAAAGGAACTCAGGTATTAAGATGGGTCAACAATCCACAGGTCTGGACATCAGCAGTACCTGTAACCTAGAAAAAAGAAGACAAAGTACAAAAGGGTAGAGGGAAGAGAAAAATAGATCTAAAAGAAAGGCAAAGGAGAGGGAAAAAAAAGACAAACCCCCATACATTCCTAACCTTTCTACTCTCATCAGACAAATTTTATTTTTATTTTTATTTATTTATTTATTTATTTATTTATTTTTGAGATGAAGTCTCACTCTTTCGCCCAGGCTAGAAAGCAATGGCATGATCTCAGCTCACTGCAACCTCTGCCTCGTGATTCCCCTGACTCAGCCTCCCAAGTAGCTGGGATTTCAGATGCACGACACCAAGCCCAGCTAATTTTTCATTTTGGTAGTTACAGGGTTTTATCATGTTGGCCAAGTTGGTCTCGAACTCCTGACCTGAGGTGATTCACCCACCTCGACCTCACAACGTGCTGGGATTACAGGCGTGAGCCACCACACTCAGCCTTATCAGACCAATTTTAGATTGACCAAGTACCTACCTTTGCATCTGAACAGCGGAGCTTGGCCCATTCTGTACATCTCCTTGGCCAAACTGGCCATACGCAACCTGGCCACAAGCAGCCTGTGCTGTTGAGGCTGGAGGTGCCCCTGAGGAAGGTGGAGCTCTTGATATACCTGAGGGTAAAGGACAGAAACTAAGCGATTGGGAAATAACTTTCTCCTCCACCCTGAGCCAGGAATGCAAAGCAAGAATCAACAAAGTTCAGACCTTCACTGGCCCCATACCACAGTTTAGGCAGTGAAAAGGACACTACCAGCATAAAGTCTAGCTATAGCAGTATTCTTCTTCTTCTTCTTCTTTTTGTTGTTGTTGTTGTTGAGACAGAGTTTCCCTCTTGTTGCCCAGGCTTGAATCCAATAGTGCAGTCTTGGCTCACTGCCATCTCCACCGCCTGGGTTCAAGCGATTCTCCTGCCTCAGCCTCCCAAGTAGCTGGGATTACAGGCATGCACCACCATGCCCAGCTAATTTTGTATTTTTCTCCATGTTGGTCAGGCCAGTCTTGAACTCCCGACCTCAGGTGATCTGCCCGCCTAGGCCTCCCAAAAGGCTGGGATTACAGATGTAAGCCACTGCACCTTGCCACTACCACAATATTCTAAACACAGATTCCCAACACAGGGCCTACACTGCCCTAGACAAGCATACTAAGGGTGAAGCTGTAGCCAGCGGCACGAGAATGTAGGGCCTTCCTTTGATCACCATACTCTCACTCAATCCAGGACAGCCTGATATTCTTACCCTAGACAACAAGTCAATTCTTTTAAGGAAAAGATCTTACTCCAGAACTCAGAAACTTAGAGCATACATGAAAAAGGAGACACAGAAGATGACCAAGTCTACTGAACTAGGCTGCATAGAAAGGCATCTCTTGGAGAGACTATTCTGCCACCTTCTTCTTCATTCGTTCTGCTTACACTAACCATATCCTTTCATCCACTTCTCAGTGTGGAAACTTCAAACAGCACATGATTCAGGAACGTGTTCCTATAGGTCAGAGACCTTGTTTCTGCCCAACAGTTCAGTAAGAACAGCTGGCCTGTCCTCCCATTAGCACTGCCACCTACATCCTCACAAAAACTGTACTCCAATGGCCGGGCGTGGTGGCTCAAGCCTGTAATCCCAGCACTTTGGGAGGCCGAGGTGGGTGGATCACAAGGTCAAGAGATCAAGACCATCCTGGTCAACACAGTGAAACCCCGTCTCTACTAAAAATACAAAACATTAGCTGGGCATGGTGGCGCGTGCCTGTAATCCCAGCTACTCAGGAGGCTGAGGCAGGAGAATTGCCTGAACCCAGGAGGCGGAGGTTGTGGTGAGCCGAGATTGCGCCATTGCACTCCAGCCTGGGTAACAAGAGCGAAACTCCGTCTCAAAAAAAAAAAAAAAAAAAAAAACTGTACTCCATCCTTCCTATTCCTTAGAGCTACCATCAAAGCTACTTATACTACCCTTAGCCATTCTTCCCACATGAAGTTCAGAGAGAAAGCAATTAGTTTCTCCCTCAATTTAGTTGCAAAAGCACATCACTTTCGAAATGTTGATGACCTCTGTTCAAAGAAATTGTTTTTCTTTTGCTTTGCCCTCAGTAGAGATTAGACATTATAGAACATGATTAACCTAAACTTGCTCACCAACCATGACAGGATCAGGTATGCTTTCCTCTAACAAAGCTTTCTCTTGAGAGAATACCAAACTCCAGTTTGATAAGTCAGGACTTAAAGCAGAGGTGGACTCTGTCCAGTCAAAGTCTCAGCTTAGAATTAAGGCTCTTCCAAAGACCTGGGGCCTAATCTCTTTACAATTTTTTTTTCCCTATAGTTATAATCAAAATCACAATACTTCATTATTTCCCAAATCTTACCCCTACCTCCTTGATGCCTTCTTTTTTCCATATCCCTTTATGGAATTCCCTCTCTTAAAAAGCATAAAGAGTTTGGCATATCCTAAGTCATCGGCTAGCCTAAGCAAAGATCTACTGTTAACTACTTCCAAAAAGCCCCTCTGGATAATCTATAGAGTACTAGCTGCTTTTCTTGAAAAAGCAAGGTGAGCACAGATGCAATGGCTCACGCCTATGATCCCAGAACTTTTCAAGGCCGAGGCGGGAGGATCACAAGGTCAGGAGTTCGAGACCAGCCTGGCTAATGGCTAACATGGTGAAATCCCACCTCAACTAAAAATACAAAAATTAGCTGGGCATGGTGGTATGTGCCTGTAATCCCAGCTACTTGGAAGGCTGAGGCAGGAGAATTGCTTCTTGAACCCGGGAGGCAGAGGTTGCAATGAGCCAAGATCATGCCACTGTACTCCAGCCTGGGCAACAGAGCAAGACTCTGTCTCAAAAAAAAAAAAAGTAAGGTAAAAGACAAACACTGAACCTAAAGCAGCATTAGATTAGTTTTCTTATTGCCCTGATATTACAGAGCATCTAAGAAGCAGAGGAAATGCAAGCAAAAGAAAAGGACTGATATCAGAAAAAAATATGAGGCACCAAAAATCAGGCACACAAATATCACACTTTTCATCCCCATAAACTACAATGTCCCAGAGTCATTTATACATAAGAGTCATCAGGCCGGGCGCGGTGGCTCAAGCCTGTAATCCCAGCACTTTGGGAGGCCGAGGCGGGTGGATCACGAGGTCAAGAGATCGAGACCATCCTGGTCAACAAGGTGAAACCCCGTCTCTACTAAAAATACAAAAAAATAGCTGGGCATGGTGGCACGTGCCTGTAATCCCAGCTACTCCGGAGGCTGAGGCAGGAGAATTGCCTGAACCTGGGAGGCGGAGGTTGCAGTGAGCCGAGATCGCACCATTGCACTCCAGCCTGGGTAACAAGAGCGAAACTCCATCTCAAAAAAAATAAATAAATAAAATAAATAAATAAATAAATAAATAAAAATATACATAAGAGTCATCAGTCCAACAAGACGCATTCTCAACATATATAAGGAATAAATGATTTCAAGGAGACTTTAAGTCAACAGGAAATATTCAGTCCTGGTCACAGGACCTAGAGAAGCTATGACTACAACCCTTCCAATTAGCTCTGAACAATGTGACCAGGTAAGGCTGCACAGGATAACACCCACAGGAAGTGAGCTGTCGGAGAACCTGGGAGATGTGCTCCCACTAAATGGCTTAGGGCAGAAACACAGTATCCTATCTAAAATCAGGGAAGGTGGCTGGGCGCAGTGACTTAGGCTTATAATCCTAACACTTTGGGAGGCCGGAGCGAGTGGATAACCTGAGGTCAGGAATTCGAGACCAGCCTGCCCAACATAGTGAAACCCCATCTCTACTAAAAATACAAAAAAATGAGCAAGACTCCATCTCAAAAAAATAAATAAAATAAACAGGGAAAGGGCCAGGCATGGTGGCTCACGCCTATAATCCCAGCATTTTGGGAGTTTGGGGCTGGTGGATCATTTTAGGTCAGAAGTACTTCAAGACCTTCCTCGCCATTGGTGAAACCCCATCTCTACTAAAAATACAAAAACTGGCCAGGCATGGTGGCTCATGCCTGTAATCACAGCACTTTGGGAAGCCAAGGCAGGCGAATCACCTGAGGTCAGGAATTTGGGACCAGCCTGACCAACATAGAGAAACCCGGTCCCTACTAAAAATACAAAATTAGTCAGGCATGGTGGTGCATGCCTGTAATCCCAGCTACTCAGGAAGCTGAGGCAGGAGAATCGTTTGAACCTGGGAGGCGGAGGTTGCAGTGAGCTGAAATTGTGCCGTTGCACTGGAGCCTGGGCAACAAAAGTAAAACTCCATCTCAAAAAAAAAAAAAATTAGTTAGCTGGGTGTGGTGGCACTTTCCTGTAATCCCAGCTACTAGGGAGGCTGAGGCAGGAGAATTGCTTAAGCCTTAGAGGTTGCAATGAGCCAAAATCATGCCACCACACTACAGATTGAGTGACAGAGCAAGACTCTGTCTCAAATAATAATAATAATTAAAGGGAAGGGTGCCCACAGGGCTCTCTTCATGTCAGATTCATTTTCCTCAGTCCCAGTAACCCAAACTTCTCAGGTAGCTTAGCTAGAGCAACACAACCTCACCTGAAAACGCTGCTAATTTCCTTCCCTAGTTCAAAGGAAACTTAGAAACATACCTTAGGATTGCTTCTCAACCTTTTGGCTAGGATCAATTGTAGAAACATACCTTGGGGAGGTGTTTGCTGATAGCCTGGTACTGGGCCGTTGTAGGCTCCATAGGGAATGGTGGGGGCTGTGGACCCTGACTGCCCACTGTAGCTGGACTGATGATACCCTGGGTAGACGGGCTGGGGCTGCCCAAATGGCGGCACAGGTGGAATTGACTGGTTGACGTTCATTATGAAAGCATTCCCAATTTGGTCTCACCTATTAGAAAGAAGAGAAATTAGTCAAAATGAACTTTCTAAAGAGAGAGCAACTATTCAGGGCAGGAAGTAGAGATAAAAAAAAATTGACCTTATCAGACAGTGATCAGCTTAATAATCCTCACACTTCCACAGGATCTTAGTAATTTTCTGCCCCAGACAGTATTCAGGTTACCTCCTAAAAAAGGATGTATGTTACTCTGCCCCCCACCCCTGCAACTTTGTCACTGTATAAAGAGTATAAATTTCAACTTCAGACAAATCCACTGAAATGGAGAAGCAGTCTCCATTCCCCAGTGGTGCGATTTCTAGCGTCTAGTCACACAGTCTTGTGGCTGATGAACTACCTTGATGTTACAGGTGAAAGAAACAATGTTCCCACTTACCATTAATTCACTCTAGCATCTATTTATTCAGCAGATACTGAGTACTCTCTAGTGTGTGCAACAATTGATTTAAAATCAATCAGGCTAAAAGTCTAAAACTGATCAGCTAAAATCATTCCCCCTCAATGACAAAATTTAGACCAACTGATTTAAAGAAAGGACATTATTTGGCTAACCTGCCATGATACAAATGATACTCCAACACCAGTCTTTCCACCAAAAGAGTGTATGGACCTTAAAACTGAAGCATTGGCCAGGCCCGGTGGTTCACACCTGTAATCCTAGAACTTTGGGAGGCTGAGGTGGACGGATCGCCTGAGGTCGTGAGTTTGAGACCAGGCTGACAAACATGAAGAAACCCTGTCTCTACTAAAAATACAAAATTAGCCAGGCATTGTGGCACAGGCCTGTAATCCCAGCTACTCGGGAGGCTGAGGCAGGAGAATCGCTTGAACCTGGAAGGTGGAGGTTGCAGTGAGCTGAGATCACACCATTGCACTCCACTCTGGGAAACAAGGGCGAAACTCCGTCTCAAAAAAAAAAAAAAAAAAAAAACTAAAGCATTAAAATCAATAAATGTTGGCTGGACACAGTGGCTGACACCTGTAATTCCAGCAATTTGGGAGGCCAAGGTAGGTGGATCACTTGAGTTCAGGAGTTCGTGACCAGTCTGGCCAACATGGTGAAACTCTGTCTCTACTAAAAATACAAAAATTAGCCAGGTGTGGTGGCACGAGCCTGTAATACCAGTTACTTGGGAGGCTGAGGCAGGAGAATCGTTTGAACCAGGAGGTGAAGGTTGCAGTGAGCTGAGACTGCACCACTGCACTTCATCCTGAGCAACAGAGCAAGAGTCCCTCTCAATTAATAAAAAAAGAAAAGAAAAAATCAGTAAATGTAAAGGACACCTGAACACACTAGCAAGGTAACAGATTAGAACCGAGCGCAGAACAGGCACCAAAACTTCTTCACATAATCTAAGGAAACAGTTCAAGAATTAGGGGGAAATTTAGATTTCATAGAAAAGATCATCCACCTCATCCTTCAAGCAGAAGACTATGAATATTCTAAATTCCAATGCACTCCTCCAGCTCTCCCGTTTCTGCTCCCCTTATGATTGTTACGAATCTAAGCCACCATCAAAATTACTACAATCTTGCTCACCAACAGAGGGATGAATTAGAGGGCCTTTTCTAGGTAGGGTCTTTCCAAGAAAAATATCTGACCACATCTACTTTCTATTTTTTTTTTTTTTTTTTTTTTTGAGACGGAGTTAAACTCTTGTTACCCAGGCTAGAGTGCAATGCCACGATCTCGGCTCACCGCAACCTCCGCCTCCTGGGTTCAGGCAATTCTCCTGCCTCAACCTCCTGAGTAGCTGGGATTACAGGCACGCGCCACCATGCCCAGCTAATGTTTTGTATTTTTAGTAGAGACGGGGTTTCACCAGGTTGACCAGAATGGTCTCAATCTTTTGACCTCGTGATCCACCCGCCTCAGCCTCCCAAAGTGCTGGGATTACAGGCTTGAGCCACCGCGCCCGACGACATCTACTTTCAACAGCCGTATCATTCCAATTATTCTGTAGAAAGAAGGGGTTCAGGAAGCAGGAGCGCTCAGAGTTGCAGCAGAGGGAACAATGGGCCTTTCCCTTTGCTACAAAAGCCATCTTGACTATAGAAAATGAGCTGATCCAGATCTAAAACTCTTTAAACTCAAAGCTATCTCGGTAGCTGTTCTTGCAAATCCTTAACCTTACCACAGGTCACTGACACTAAGTTTGAAATATGTCCCCTCCCTTTATCTTTCCGAAGTCGGGGGGAGGGGTAAAGAAAGGAGCTTCTTTTCCTGAAAATAATCCTCTCAAACACATTCAAGAGCTTGGAGTCAGTCTAAAGTCTCGACTCCATTCTGGGTGGACAGTCCAGGGTGACAACCCAAGGGGGCGGGGCAAGCTTCCTAGAACTCTGAAAGTAGTCAAGCCGCGGAGCCTGGGAGCGCCAAGGATCAAGACCGAGAAGCCAAGTCGGCTTGTACGGCCACGTTAAGAGAGGGGGCTGGTCTGTTGAGCACAGAGACCAGCGCCTTGCACCTTTTAATAGGCTCGGAGCAGGAAGCGGGAGCCAGAATCTGGGCCGGAGACGAAGGGAGGGGTCTAGGACTGCTCCCGGATGGTAGATGCGTGAGGTGAGGGTCTCTTCCCAGACCCCGCCCCCAGGCTCCTCCCTGCTTTCTGAAACTGGACCCCAATCTGGCCAGTAATACCCCGGCCTCTCCTTTGCTTTCCTACCCACCAACCTCCCGATGCCACTCCTCACCCGGCTCCAGATCCAGGTTAGACTTCGTTCCTAACGTCAAGGCTCCCAGGCTCCACTTCCGGTTCCGAGGAGGCCGTCGCGTCACCCCCGGAAGTTCCTCCTCCACGCTTTAGGGGCGGGCCACTCAGTCTGCCACGTCTGCACTTCGGGCACCCGGATCTCGCGCATGCGCTGCTTTTCTCTTCCCATCATGGCCGCCGCTTGGGCGGCACCGCCGAGTCTTCTGTATTTCACCCTGACGTTTTTTTTCAGATGTTCCGGTCACTTTATGACCTTACCAACAGAGATGAGATGAAAAAGAATTTGTCAAACTATCTTTAATAATGCCCCATTCACTCCGCCTTTGATGTACTAGTGACCTCTGATCTGGAGTCTTCTAGGCACTTCCTGCTGACCCCTGACCCGGTTGATTTCCGTCCGCTAGGTGGATCTCACCCATTGCCTTTGCTGGTCATGAGATTTGCGGAAGGTGTTGTGGTGGTAAAGGGTACCAACTGATTCAGTCTGCGTGTAGGGATCTGAGGTCTGGCTGTACAGTTTCCTAGCTTGGGCATCCGTTTCTTTCATCTGTAAAATGGAAATAATTCCTGCATAAGAACTTGTTGAGGAAAAATTAGCTGGGCATGGTGGCGCGTGCCTGTAATCCCAGTTACTCAGGAGGCTGAGGCAGGAGAATTGCCTGAACCCAGGAGGCGGAGGTTGCGGTGAGCCGAGATCGCGCCATTGCACTCCAGCCTGGGTAACGAGAGCGAAACTCCGTCTCAAAAAAAAAAAGAACTTGTTGAGGGTATGAAATTAGGTGACATAGGCCGCCTGGCATCTTAGTAAGCACTCAGTCAAGGTCAGTTGTTACTATTTAACCATATTTATACAGCACCTTCATTTAGAGCCAGAGCTCTCTCAGAGCCAAAAGATCTCTGCTCTCCGTTGGAAGAGTTACAGTTCCTGAGGTAATTATTACCGTGTTTAATGACTAATTATAGCTAACAATAGTAGGATTTCTTTGTCATAAACATGATCTCATTTGAACTTTTCAGTACTTTTTTTTTTTTTTTTTTAAGAGATGGTGTCTTGCTCTCTTGCCCAAGTTGGAGTGCAGTGGCACTCTCTCAGCTCACTGCAACCTCCACTTCCCAGCCTAAAGTGATTCTCCTACCTCAGCCTCCTGAGTAGCTGGGATTACAGGCACATGCCATCACACGCAGCTAATTTTGTATTTTTAGTAGAGAGGGGGTTTCACCGTGTTGGTCTGGCTGGTTTGTACTCCTGACCTGGTGATCCGACCTCCTCGGCCTCACAAAGTGTTCGGATTACAGACGTGAGCCACCGCGCCCGGCCCTGTTAATTCATGTAATAATTTTTCGAGCACTGCTGTTGAAACTGCCTTTGCAAAATTATAACTGAGGAAATTATGACAGTGGAAGAAATCAGCCCTACCCGACTCCATCTTGCTTCTAACCTTTAAGTGCTCCTTGTTCAGGAACTAACTTTCGGAAGAAATTCAGTTCATGGTTTGACTCTGAAACAAAACTGATTGATAATAGCTCCTTCTTGAAAAGACCCCCTTCTTGCCCTGGGGACCAGTCTCCCTTTAAAGGACTAACAAATTAGCTACAAGATTAGAAATTACAGTTTAGGGGTCATCAGCCTCTAGCTCTGAGTCTCAACCTCCCCAAATTGCTCCTAGGAACAACATCACTGTTGTAAAACCTAAGATAGGTGCTTGAGATATTTTGCAGACCCTGCACTCTTTGGATCAGCTGGATCAGTTGGATCCGGCTCAACCATCCCACCCAAAAACAGAAATCAGCAAGAAAACCTCACTTACACCCCCTATGATTTCATCTTCAACTTGACCAGTCAGCATTCCCTACTTCCCAAGCTCCTACCTGCCAAATTATCTTTAAGAATTCTGAAGGCCGGGCGCGGTGGCTCAAGCCTGTAATCCCAGCACTTTGGGAGGCCGAGGCGGGTGGATCACGAGGTCGAGAGATCAAGACCATCCTGGTCAACATGGTGAAACCCCGTCTCTACTAAAAATATAAAAAAGTAGCTGGGCATGGTGGCACATGCCTGTAATCCGAGCTACTCAGGAGGCTGAGGCAGGAGAATTGCCTGAACCCAGGAGACGGAGGTTGCGGTGAGCTGAGATTGTGCCATTGCACTCCAGCCTGGGTAACAAGAGTGAAACTCCGTCTCAAAAAAAAAAAAAAAAAAAAAAAAAAAAGAATTCTGATCCTTCGGCCGGGCGCGGTGGCTCAAGCCTGTAATCCTAGCACTTTGGGAGGCAGAGTGGGTGGATCACGAGGTCAAGAGATCAAGACCATCCTGGTCAACATGGTGAAACCCCGTCTCTACTAAAAATACAAAAAAATTAGCTGGGCATCGTGGCGCGTGCCTGTAATCCCAGCTACTCAGGAGGGTGAGTCAGGAGAACTGCCTGAACCCAGGACGCGGAGGTTGCAGTGAGCCGAGATCGCTCCACTGCACTCCAGCCTGGGTAACAAGAGCGAAACTCCGTCCCAAAAAAAAAAAATTCTGATCCTTGAATGCTCAGGGAGACTAATTTGAGTAATAAAATTCTGGTCTCCCACACAGCCAGCTCTATGTGAATTACTCCATTGCACTTCTCCTGTCTTGATAAAGTGGCTCTGTCTAGGCAGAAGGCAAGGTGAACCCATTGGGCGTTTGCACTGTGTGCCAAGCCATGTTCTTGATTCTGGAAATATAGTAGTAAACAAAAGTGTTCTCATATTATTGACAGTAAAAATCAGTTATTCTGTGGCACAGTGTGGTTTATTTGTTGAAAAATTCGCACTTTAGGCTGTGCTGGAAACTATATATTAGACATTGAGAATGCTTTACTAAACAGGCAGATCGTCCCTATCCTCTGTTGTTTTTGTTTGTTTGTTTGTTTTGAAATAGAGTCTCACTGTCACCCAGACTGGAGTGCAACGGCATGGTCTCGGCTCACTGCAACCTCTGCCTCCCGAGTTCAAGTGATTCTCTTGCCTCAGCCTCCTGAGTAGCTGAGACTACAGGCACATGCCATCATACCTAGCTAATTTTTGTATTTTTAGTAAAGACAGGGTTTCACTATGTTGGCCAGGCTGGTCTCGAACTCCTGACTTCGTGATCCGCCTGCCACGGCCTTTCAAAGTGCTGGGATTACAGGCATGAGCCACTATACCCAGCCTTGTTTTTTTCTTTTTGAGATGGAGTCTGGCTCTGTCACCAGGCTGGAGTGCAGTGGCATGATCTTCCTCACTGCAACTTCCGCCTCCTGGGTTCAAGTGATTTTTGTGCATCAGCCTCTCGAGTAGCTGGGATTAGTCACGCATCACCAAACCTAGCTGATTTTTGTATTTTTAGTAGAGACAGGGTTTCACCATGTTGGCCAGGGTGGTCTCTGCCTCACCTCGTGATCCACCCACCTCAGCCTCCCAAAGTGCTGGGATTACAGGTGTGAGCCACCATGCCTGGCCTGTTTTGTTTTTGAGACGGTTTTGCTCTGTTGCTCAGGCTGGGCTCAAGTAGTCCTCCTGCCTCAGCCTGCTGAGTAGCTGGGGCTACAGGTGCCACCATGTCTGGCTAATTTCTTGTAGAGATGAGTTCTCCCTACATTGTCCAGGGTGGTCTCAAATTCCTCCCACCTAAGCCTCCCAAATTGCTGGTATTACAGGTGTGAAGCCACCATACCTGACCTTTCCTCAATTTATAGTCGAGATCAGTGGTTCTCAAAATTTGTAGTCGAGATCAGTGGTTGTCTGTATCATCACCTGGACATTTGCTAGAAATTCACATTTCAGACTCACTTTAGTTAGATTGAGTCAGAAATTCTGGAGGTGGGGCCCAGCAAGCTATGGTTTAAGGCCTTCCAGGTGATTCCATTGCCGATTGAAAAACACCAGTCTGGATGAAAAATTTGCCCAATTCAGCTAACGTATGTTGAGCGTATGACCTAAACTGGGTCCTCTGCTAAACATTTTCACATGGTTTATCCCACTTGACTCATATCAATATAGGAAAGTAAATATCCTCTGTCTTGCTTAAGGTTGCAACCCTAGGACAGGGCACAGTGGCCCACGCCTGTAATCCTAGCACTTTGGGAGACTGAGGCCAGTGGATCACCTGAGGTCAAGAGTTTGAGACCAGCCTGGCCAACATGGAGAAACCCAGCCTCTACTAAAAATAAAAAATTTAGCCAGGCATGGTGGCACACACCTGTAATCCCAGCTACTCCAGAGGCTGAGGCACGAGAATCGCTTGAACCTGGGAGGTGGAGGTTGTAGTGAGCTGAGATTGTGCCACTGCACTACTGCACTCCAGCCTGGGCAACAGAGCAGATTCTATTAAAAAAAAAAAAAAAGAAAAACAGTGGAGCCCAGTGGCTCATGCCTGTAATCCTAGCACTTTGGGAGGCCAGGGTAGGTGGTTCTGAGGTCAGGAGTTTGAGACCAGCCTGGGCCAACATGGTGAAACCCTGTCTTAACTAAAAACAGAAAAATTAGCCAGGCGTGGTGGCATGCACCTGTAAGTCCCAGCTACTAAAGAGGCTGAGGCAGGAGAATCGCCTGAACCTGAGAGGCAGAGGTTGCAGTGAGCCAAGACTATACCATTGCACTCCAGCCTGGGTGACAGAGTGAGACTCCATCTCAAAAAAAAAAAAAAGATTGCATCCCTGCTAAGTGGTAGATCATATATTCAGTTTCTTTCCCCTCCCCCCACCTTTTTTTTTTGAGACAGGGTCTCTGTCCACCCAGGCTGGAGTGCCATGGCCCAATCATGGCTCACTGCAACCTCCACCTTCCAGGCTCAAGTGATTCTCCCCACTCAGCCTCCCTAGTAGCCGGGACTATAGGCATGTACCACCACACTTAGCTAGCTAAGTTTTGTATGTTTTGCAGAGACAGGGGTTCACCATGTTACCTAAGCTGGTCTGAAACTCCTGGGCTCAAGCAATCTGCCCACCCTGGCCTTCCAAAGCACTGGGCAGGCACAGTTGCTCATACCTGTAATCCCAACACTTTGGGAGGTCGAGGCAGGTGAATCACAAGATCAGGAGTTTGAAACCAGCCTGGCTAATATGGTGAAACCCTGTCTCTACTAAAGATACAAAAAAATTAGCCGGGCATGGTAGCGCATACCTGAAATTCCAGCTACTTGGGAGGCTGAGGCAGGAAAATTGCTTGAACCCAGGAGGCAGAGGTTGCAGTGAGTGGAGATTGCGCCACTGCATTCCAGCCTGGGGGGCAGAGCGAGACTCTGTCTAAAAAATAAAAATAAAAAATAAAAAAATGCTGGGATTATAGGCATAAGCCAGCATGCCCGGACCATAGTTCTTGGTTTTTTCTTTTTTTGACGGAGTCTCACTCTTTTGCCCAGGCTGGAGTCCAGTGGCACAATCTCACTGCAGCCTCTGCCTCCTGGGTTCAAGTGATTCTCCTGCCTCAGCCACCCTAGTAGTTAGGATTACAGGTGTGCACTACCACACCGGGCTAATTTTGTATTTTTAGTAGAGACATGGTCTCACCATGTTGGCTAGGCTGTTCTCGAACTCCTGGTCTCAAGTGATGGCTCCGCCTCAGCCTCTCAAAATGCTGGGGTAACAGGCAGTGAGCCACCATGCCCAGCCTGGGACCATAGTTTCTTGAGAATACAGACTAATGTGTTGCAATTTATTGGTTTCTACTCAGTGCGCTCAACTTTGGTTACATATTAGAATCATCTGTGGTACTTTTTACTTTTGTTTTTGAGACAGAGTTTCGCTCTTGTTGCCCAGGCTGGAGTGCAATGGTGTGATCTCAGCTCACTGCAACCTCCAACTCCTGGATTCAAGTGATTCTCCTGCCTCAGCCTCCCAAGTAGCTGGGATTACAGGCATGTGCCACCCCGCCTGACTAATTTTTGTATTTTGAGTAGAGATGGAGTTTCACCATATTTGTCAAGCTGGTCTCAAACTCCTGACCTCAGGTGATCCACCTGCCTTGGGCTCCCAAAGTTTTGAGATTACAGGTGTGAGCCAGTGCACTCAGCCTTGTGATGCTTTTTAAAATGCCACTACCAGGTACCAGATCAATAAAATCAGTCCCTAAGGCTGAGGACTGGGTGTGTGTGTGTGCATGTAAAATTTGTCATATAATCATCGAATCCTATATGTTGTCTTATTTTAGGGACTTGGTAGCTGTAAAAGTTTTTAGGGACTTAGTAGCTGTAAAAGTTTTTAGGTGATTTTAATATGCACTGAGGGTTAATTGAAAGCCAATAGTGTACCACAATGGCTGACATGTAGCTAACAATAAATGTTTGGATAGTGAATCAATAGATATTTAGATCCTCTTTTTACTGATGAGGCCAAGTGACTGCCCTGCCTGAGGTCACACAGCTATTAAGTGATGGAAAAAGAACCTAAGTTCAGGCCTGGTGCAGTGGCTCACACCTGTAATTCCAGCAGTTTGGGAGGCCAAGGTGGGTCCATCACTTGAGGCCAGGAGTTCGACACCAGTCTGGCCAACATAGTGAAACCCTGTCTCTAAAAACTAAAAATACAAAATTAGCCGGGCATGGTGGCAGGCACCTATAGTCTCAGCTACTTGGGAGGTTGAGATAGGACAATTGCTTGAACCCAGGAGGTGGAAGTTGCAGTGGTCTTGCATCATTGCACTCCAGCCTGGGCAACAAGAGTGAAACTCTGTCTAAAAAAAAAAAAAAAAAGGCCGGGCACGGTGGCTCAAGCCTGTAATCCCAGCACTTTGGGAGGCCGAGGCGGGTGGATCACGAGGTCAAGAGATCGAGACCATCCTGGTCAACATGGTGAAACCCCGTCTCTACTAAAGATACAAAAAAATTAGCTGGGCATGGTGGCATGTGCCTGTAATCCCAGCTACTCGGGAGGCTGAGGCAGGAGAATTGCCTGAACCCAGGAGGCAGAGGTTGCGGTGAGCCGAGATCGCGCCATTGCACTCCAGCCTGGGTAACAAGAGCGAAACTCCGTCTCAAAAAAAAAAAAAAGAACCCAAGTTCAGTTCTGACCCAAAATCCCAAGTATTTTCTTCTTTCTTTTTGGAGATCGGGTCTCCCTCTGTTGTCTGCAAGTGTTTTCTCCCCTCTGTCTTTCTCTCTCTCTTTCTTCCTTCTTTCTTTTCTTTTCCTTCTCTTCCTTCCTTCCTTTATTTTCTTTCTTTCTTTTTCTTCCTTTCTTTCTTTCTTTTTGAGACAGGGTCTCACTTTGTCACCCAGGTTAGAGTTCAGTGGCAGGATCACGACTCACTGTAGCTTCGATCTGCAGGGCCCAAGTGAGCCTCCCACCTCAGTCTCCCAAGTAGCTGAAACTACAGGAGCATGTCACTGGGCAGGCCTGGCTAAATTTTTTTATATTTTTTGTAGCAATGGGGTCTCACCATGTTATCCAGGTCTTGAACTCCTGGGGTCGAGCGATTCACCTGCCTCAGCCTCCCAGAGTGCTGGGATTACAGGCGTGAGCTACTGCAGCCAGCCCAAGTGTTTCTAGGACATAGAGGCACATACCAAGGCAAGCAGTATTTAGCATACGCTAGGTGGGCAGCTATTTCATGAAACTCTGTAGCCTTTGATAATCACAGTTACAGCACCATAGTGTTATGCCTTGTAACAGAGACATTCTTGTAATGGAAACCTAGAGACAAGTAAAGGTTTTATTAACATGGGTTGGTATGTTTATGCACACCTATCCATGTCTACCATTTCATGACCACATATGAATTGCAATAGGTAATTTTTTATAGTTTGTTTTTTTTTTTTTTTTTTTTTTTTTTGAGACGGAGTTTCGCTCTTGTTACCCAGGCTGGAGTGCAATAGCGCGATCTCGGCTCACCGCAACCTCCGCCTCCTGGGCTCAGGCAATTCTCCTGCCTCAGCCTCCTAAGTAGCTGGGATTACAGGCATGCGCCACCACGCCCAGCTAGTTTTTTTGTATTTTTAGTAGAGACAGGGTTTCACCATGTTGACTAGGATGGTCTTGATCTTTCGACCTCATGATCCACCCGCCTCGGCCTCCCAAAGTGCTGGGATTACAGGCTTGAACCACCGCGCCCGGCCTAATTTTTTATAGTTTTAAAAAAATTTTTTTAATGAAAAAAAAGAGAGACAGGGGTCTTACCATGTTGCCTGGGTTGGTCTCAAACTCCTGGACCCAAGCAATCCACCCACTTTGGCCTCCCAAAGTGCTAGGATTACAGCCGTGAGCCACCATACCTGGCCCTCCATTTTAATTAACAGATACATCCATATAGCGAGAGTGTACTCTCTCCTGGGATCTTGGAGCAAGTCCAACCATTCTTTGCAAGCTATGGAATTGAAACCCCTGCTGCTGCCACTTTGAAAGGTCTTTGCAGGAAAGCAGTTGAGATTAGTCTATGGTCCTATTAGAGAAGGTTCAGTTCCTGAAAGTTATATGTTAGGTATAGAGCCCAGAGAGTTTGTATTCGGAGCCCTGAATAAAAGGCCCATACAGGAGAATGGGTAACATGGAGGGCAGAAGTTTGTGCTATAATTAGCTCTAGGAGTAACACAGATGGGGGAGGGAGGGGAGTATAAGCGGCATCTATTTTGAGCACATCTCCGATTGACGGGACACGTGTGCTGGACTGTAATGATCCCAGGGCCAAATTGCCTCCGTGTGGTGTGTGTTGTTGGGGGGAGACCTGGGGCAGCAGGAGCAGAACAGCCGGACAGGAAGGCCGGACGGGGTACGAGCACCTCAACATCTCGCCCTGGGACACTGTTCAAACTCCGGGGGCCATAGGCCAAGCTGAGTGATGGGTGCTGAGGAGGAGGTGCTGGTCACACTATCAGGGGGAGCCCCCTGGGGCTTCCGACTTCAGGGGGGGGCCGAGCAGAGGAAACCCTTACAGGTGTCCAAGGTAAGGGAGAGCCCCTGAAATGTGGCTTCAGGGAAAGGGAACCCAAGGGATCCTGGGAAGAGACTTGTGGTGGAATATGGTGGGGGTTGGGGGAGTGGGAGGCTGTGAAGATGGGGTGGGTAGTGGGCAGGGAAGTATGCTCAAGTCTCATAGTGGGAGTAGTGTCTGACTACAGGCTTCTTGCGGAGGTCTATTAGAAAAGAGAAGTTGTGGTTTCCAGGGAGCACAAGAAAAAGAAAGGCTCTGTTTCTGCAGCACTGTGGTATCAGAGGCCCAGCTCTGGTCATCCAGTGTTTGTTCTCCTGGGTATGTGCCTCTACTCCAAACTCCAGAAATATGGGGAAGATTCTAATTTGTCTCTGACTGAACTGATATGTGATGAACTGAGACTGTCTTACTCAGCCTAGCCCAGCTCAGCCCTACCCTGCCTCACCCTGCCCTGCCCATGCCTTCAGTGTGCCCCTTTTCCTAGGTCAGATCCTTTCTCTCACTGGGCAAGACATTTTTAGGTGCTAGGAGGGTTATGGCAAGATCTGGCCTCACAGATGAAGTCATTACCCTTTTGGTTTCACCCTACAGGCTTAGTTTTCCAAACTGTAAAATGTGAGTAATAATAGTACTTGTACTTACTTCATGGAACCATTTTAAGGATTAAATGCAATAATACATGTAGCACAGTGCCCAGCACTTAGTAAGAATCCAATAAATGGTAGCCACTACTACTATTACTTTAGCGTATATACATTTGTGTGTACACATGGCACACATATACACAAATGATCACAATCTCCCAGAATCCCACTGGACTCCCTCCAGTCTGGAGTTCTGTTCTAAAATCTTCACTGTGTAATGGCACCTGGAGTTCCAAGGCCTAATAGAGAATTACTGGCCAATATAGATACTGCTCTTGGAGAAAAAGCTTGTGGAGATCTCTCCTCTCCTCTCCTCTCCTCTCCTCTCCTCTCCTCTCCTCTCCTCTCCTCTCCTCTCCTCTCCTCCCCTCCCCTCCCCTCCCCTCCCCTCCCCTCCCCTCCCCTCCCCTCCCCTCCCCTCCCCTCCCCTCCCCTCCCCTCCCCTCTCCCTCCCCTCCCCTCCCCTCCCCTCCCCTCCCCTCTTCCCTTTCCCTCCCCCTTTCCCTTTCCCTTCCCCTTTCCCTCCCCTTTTCCCCTTCTCTTTTCCCCTTCCCCTTTCCCTTTCCCCTTCCTTTCCCTTTCCCTTCCCTTTCCTTTTTCCTTTCCTTTCCTTTCCTATCCTATCTGTGTGAGAGTCTTACTCTGTCACCCAGGCTGGAGTGCAGTAGTACGATCTTGGCTTGCTGCAACCTCCATTTCCCAGTTCAAGCGATTCTCCTGCCTCAGCCTCCCAAGTACCTGGGATTACAGGTGCATGCCATAATGCCTGGCTGATTTTTGTACTTTTAGTAAAGACAGTGTTTCATCATGTTGGCCAGGATGGTCTCAAATTCCTGACCTCAAGTGATCCATCTGCCTAGGCCTCCCAAAGTGCTGGGATTATAGGTGTGACCCATTGTGCCCGACATACTAAAAACCACCATTTTTAGTACCAACCCCATGCAGTTCTTCCCAAGCCTCTTTCATTCAGTGGTTACCCTATCTCCCACCATATGATGTATTTCTTCCTCCAATCTGTGCTGTCTTCCCTCTAGATAGGCCACTTCAACTGCAGCCACTTCCACACATCTCCCCACCCTTCTTACCCTGCAAAGTAAAATCCCCTGCTATGGGTCCTTCCTGCCTTTTCCTTTCATTCTATTCCCTTTGGATCACTCTCTTACCTACAATCAACATCCTTCAACATATCTTTTAACATCTCAGATTCGAAGACGGAGCCAGGCTGGCAGAGCAGGACTCCGAGAGAGGGACCAGCTCTTGGCAATCAATGGGATCTCTTGCACCAACCTCTCCCATGCCAGTGCCATGAGCCTCATCGACGCCTCAGGAAATCAGCTTGTCCTCACTGTGCAACGGTATGGACTTCCCTCCCCTTCTCATTCCCTAATGACGGACTCCCATTGCCTGTCTCAGCTCTATGTCTCACTGGCCTGGCTTTAGAAACTAACAGGTACTTATTTTCTGCTCATACATTTCTGCTGGAGTGTAGATGGTTTGTGTCTATCTCCCAGAGGGCTTGAATATATCTGCAATTAAGGGGGGGTGTCAGTGGGTATTTGACTGATGGACCTACTTCAATCTCTGGCCTGTTTCCTCATTACATCTTCTTCTAAGTCTGTTTCCACTCATGGCCCTTCAAGCATATTTGCCTCCTAGTTTGTCTTCATATCTTCACCTTTCCTGGCCCACCCATTCCAACTGTATGACAGCCTTCTCTCTCCCTTACCTCTTCCTTCCATCCCTTCCAGATTTTTTTGCTGTCAGTACCCATCTCTCAAGCTCTGTCATCTTTCCTATACAGGGTAGCAGACGAGGGGCCTGTGCAATCTCCATCTCCCCATGAGCTTCAGGTGCTGTCACCCTTATCTCCACTGAGTCCTGAGCCCCCTGGTGCTCCAGTTCCTCAGCCTCTGCAGCCTGGGAGCCTTCGTTCACCTCCTGATAGTGAGGCTTACTATGGAGAGACTGACAGTGATGCTGATGGCCCTGCCACCCAGGAGAAGCCCCGCCGACCTCGCCGCCGAGGCCCCACAAGGCCTACCCCTCCGGGTGCCCCACCTGATGAGGTCTACCTGTCTGACAGCCCTGCAGAGCCGGCACCTACTATCCCTGGCCCTCCTAGCCAGGGTGACAGCCGTGTGAGCTCCCCATCTTGGGAGGATAGGGCAGCCCTTCAGCCACCTCCAGCTGAGGCTCTGCTGTTACCCCATGGCCCCCTCCGGCCTGGTCCTCATCTCATCCCTATGGTGGGGCCTGTTCCCCACCCAGTGGCAGAAGATCTTACTACCACCTACACCCAGAAGGCCAAGCAAGCCAGTAAGTGCCTGAACCCCCTTTCCCCAGCCAGGATCCTTCAATCTGAGCCTTAAATCCACTCTTCTATAGCCATACATTCTCCCTACCTTATGCCCCTTGGATACAGTCTTGGGGACAAGAGGAGAAGAGTAATGAGTAGAAGGGGAGCATAACTATTCTCGTGGCCCCCATTATTTTTGCTGTTTGAACCAATGTGGCAAAGGGTAAGGTGATTCAGTTCAACGCAGGAACAGGATAAGTAGGGAAGTTGGAAAGGGACATGAATAGATGAAGGGTTTGGTGGTGGTGATAATTGTTATTGTGTAAATGACGGGGTAAAGGCAGAGTACAGACACAGGACAGGGGAGTATTTAAAAGCAGGTTGAAGGCTGGGTGAGGTGAGGTGGCTCACACCTGTAATCCCAGCACTTTGGGAGGCTGAGATGGGAGGATCGCTTGAACTCAGGAGTTTGAGATCAGCCAGGACAACATGGTGAGACCTTGTCTCCACTAAAAATTTAAAAATTAGACAAGCATGGTGGCACATGCCTATGGTCCCAGCTACTTGGGAGGCTGAGGCAGGAGGATCACTTGAGCCTGGGAGGTTGAGGCTACAGAAAGCCATGTTTGCACCACTGCACTCCAGTGTGAGCAACAGAGCAAGACCCTGTCTCAAAAATAAATAAATAAAAATAAACAAATAAAAGTGGGTCAAAGCTACAGGGGTTCTTTACAGTGTTAACTGAAGACACCTTTGACATTTGCAAGTTCAGTTAGGATTCCTGGGGACCGAGAGGCTATGGGATGATCATGAGATCCTGAGGAAGTAGCAGAGGGAGGGAGCTTTAGCTTTGGCACCTTATCTCAGGCAAGAATGTTGGCCTGGACAGAAAAAGCCCATTCCACTTATCTCAGGCTCTTTGCTATTTTTGATGTGAACTACAGAACAAGGTCTAAGGACAAACTTTCTCCCTGCTCTATGCCTCCTGTGCCTTTCCCACAGAGACCGTTCTTGTCACCTCTGAAATCTCAGGATTCCCTATCTAGTTGTATTTCTTTCCTCTCCTCTACCATTTTGATTCCTGATCCATAGAGTTTTGTGTCTCTCAGTTTGGAATGGAGGCTTAGGACATGAGAGTTGAGAGTCTGACATCCCTGATTGTCCAATATCCCAGGAATTCCAGACGCATGCCTAGGATCCCATGCTTTCCTCAGTTCTCTACTTACCTCCCCCTCCCTTCCTATCATGCTGGGTGAGACTGTAGTTACTGGCTCAGAGATATTTTTAGTCAAGCAGACCTCATTGTCTACTGGGGGAGGGTTGGGGGAAGGGGAGGCAGGTGCCCATGTCCATCACACCAGCACTTGTGGGGCAGCCCAGAGAAGGGAGAGGGCCAGTCTCCAAAAATAGCACAGTGAGCTCATTCAGCTGCCAGCTCTGGGGACAAGACAAAGGGGCTTTAAAAGGCATGGGGGGCGGCTCAAGCTGGTTCTGCTCCAGCCAACACTGCCTTTCTCAGCATGGAGACCTTTGAGCCCATCAGCCAAGAGCCCCTCAGCCAAGCCAGCTACGACAAAGCCCCAGACCCAGTTCCTGAGCTCCAAGACTCATTCTATGCAGGTACTACCCTTTCATATCTATGAGAGTCTGTGATCTAGAATGGAGGGGAAGATGTCAACAGTTTAGAAAGGGCAGTCTTTGGGAAAGGTCTTACTATCCTGTTCCTTCCTTTTTGCTGTCCTCTTCCTCCTTTTCTCAGGAGAGTTTCACTGCCCCTTTCTCAGTGATCCTATGGCCACAGGTCAAAGGGGTTTGTGACCACAGAGCTGTAGAAAACTCATGGCAACAGAGCGTGTGTGAGTACATTATGAATATATGAGGGCATGTATGTGTGAGTCCATGGGAGAAGATAAGTGTGAACAAGAAAGTGTCCATATATATCAAGAAAGTATAGCGTCAAGAAGGCTTTAATAGTAACAGTTATAGTGGGCCTTGACATTGTGTTAAGTGCTAAACTTACTATATTATCTCAGTTAATCCTCATAGCAATCCTGTGAGGTAGCCATTGTCTGCCCTCATTTACAGAGGAGGAAACTGAACTTTAATGAGGTGAGGTAACTCTCCCAAAAACCAAAAACCTGAACTGAACTCTGACTCCAGGGCCCGTTGTCTCATCCACAGCAGTACTTTGTGGTATAAATGCTGTGATGAGAGGAATGACAAAAATGAAAAAATTCCATCTACTTTCCACTCAAGGTACCAAGCTAATTACAAAGAAGCATGGTACCTTAAATGGAACGTAGATGGAATTTCAATAATTTTTCAGGAGGAACTGGGGACCATGGACCAGAGAGTATCCATGTGCAAGGCGGGGTCCTAGCAGCAGGGTTACCTCTCCCATTTCTTGGCCCCACCTACCCAGGCCCCACATGGCATGGAAAGCCCTGCCCTGGTTCCCTTTAGCACAAAGTCCTTGTGTGCCTGGCTGGCAGTGGCTGCCTGAGCTCTACCTAGAGGCAGCTCTGACACCCAAAGAAGCCTACCCTACTATGTTCCCCAGCTTAGGGGAAATAATATATTTAGCTAGCTGGTGACCTTAAGGTATCCTAAAGATTTGGAGGGTTGCCTTGGAGAACAGCACTCTAACTTTTCCTGCATCTTGGATCAAGACTACTCCTGGTTGTGAGTAGCAGGGGTGTGAAGCCCAGAGGACTGCCCTGGGAGTTTGAAGGCTGAGATAAACTTTAAAATTCTGTCTTAGACTATTAGTAACAGGGTCTCTGCAGGGAGGGCTCTGGGAAGAAGGGCCACCTAGATCATGTAGGTATGTGAATGTATTTGAGTGATAGTGTTTTTATGTGGGGATATGTATGTTTACATATGCATAAGTAAACAGAAGTGTATGTAAGCTGGGGTATATGTGAATGAGAAAAGTATATAGGAGAAAGTACGCCTAGAGTTGGCTTTCACTAGATGGATATTCTTGTTGAAGTGCTGTGTGCTGGGAGTTTTTCTGTAATGTCTATGATGTGGACTGCATGAGGGGGGTGGAATTGTGAATGAAGATCCTCATTGCTAAGGGTTCTTTGTGTCCATATCATAGAGGTAAGGGATAGCAGAGAGGATGAGTCCTAAGCTTTGTGAGAAGCTTCCTAACGTGGTCCCTATGGTGGGTGAAAGTGTTCCTTCTCAAGGCCGGGCGCGGTGGCTCAAGCCTGTAATCCCAGCACTTTGGGAGGCCGAGGCGGGTGGATCACGAGGTCAAGAGATCGAGACCATCCTGGTCAACATGGTGAAACCCCGTCTCTACTAAAAATACTAAAAATTAGCTGGGCATGGTGGCGTGTGCCTGTAATCCCAGCTACTCAGGAGGCTGAGGCAGGAGAATTGCCTGAACCCAGGAGGCGGAGGTTGCGGTGAGCCGAGATCGCGCCATTGCACTCCAGCCTGGGCAACAAGAGCGAAACTCCGTCTCAAAAAAAAAAAAAAAAAAAAAAGAAAGTGTTCCTTCTCATCTTTGCTCTCCCTGGGACCTGCTTATCTCCCTGTCTGCCATGGAGAGTGACACATCCTTCCCCTCCTTCTCCCCCTCCCCCTCCCATTGCCAGTCAGGAATGGGAGGCAGGTGAGGAATGTGTGTGGGGTGGATAAGAGCGCATCTCTTGGAAGATAGGAACTGAATAGCAGCAAGATTATTCTGCTAATCTTACTAGAAGGATGGAAGGGCTGTGGTCAGAGCAGTGTCAGGGCAGCCAAGTGGACTCTGCCTTATCTTTAACTGTCCTTGGTTTCACCTTTCGCCCTCCACTCTGCCCTTATGTCAAATGACTTCGCCACAGAGGGTACTGTGGGTTTAGCCAGTGAAAGAGGGAGCTTTCTGGGGCTGGGGGTGAAAGCCTTGAGGAACAGGACTAGAAGAGGCTAGGAAGCCCCACTGACCATTTTACCTCTTGGCCTTCCCAGAACTGCAACGTGCAGAGAGCCTTCAAGAGAAGAGCATAAAGGAGGCCAAGAGCAAATGCAGGACAATTGCATCGCTGCTCACTGCAGCCCCCAACCCCCACTCCAAAGGGGTGCTTATGTTTAAGAAACGGCGGCAGAGAGCCAAGAAGTACACCCTGGTGAGCTTTGGAGCTGCTGCTGGGACAGGGGCTGGGGAGGAGGAGGACGGCATTCCCCCCACGAGTGAATCCGAGCTGGACGAAGAAGCCTTCTCCGACGCCCGCAGCCTCACCAATCAATCTGACTGGGACAGTCCCTATCTGGACATGGAGCTTGCCAGGGCAGGCTCAAGAGCAGCAGAGGGCCAGGGCTCTGGGCTGGGAGGGCAGCTGAGTGAGGTCTCTGGGCGAGGGGTGCAGCTCTTTGAACAGCAGCGCCAGCGTGCAGACTCCAGCACACAGGAACTGGCGAAGGCCGAACCAGGAGCCATGCTCAACGGGGAGGGCTTGCAGTCACCACCTCGGGCCCAGAGTGCTCCCCCGGAGGCGGCTGTGCTCCCACTCAGTCCCTTGCCGGCCCCTGTAGCCAGCCCCAGACCCTTCCAACCAGGTGGGGCCCCGACCCCAGCTCCAAGCATCTTTAACCGGTCAGCCAGGCCCTTTACCCCGGGTCTACAAGGCCAGCGGACAACTACCACCTCCGTTATTTTCCGGCCCCTAGCCCCCAAGAGAGCTAACGACAGCCTGAGCGGCCTCAGTCCCGCCCCACCCCCCTTCTTGTCTTCTCCGCAGGGACCCACCCCTCTGCCCAGCTTCACTTCAGAGGTTGCCAGCCATGTGCCAGCCTCTGGATCCCCCAGCATCCCACGCTCCTCCGGCCCTGTGACAGCCACCAGTTCCCTGTACATCCCAGCCCCCAGTCGGCCTGTTACCCCAGGCGGAGCCCCAGAGCCCCCCGCTCCTCCTAGTGCAGCTGCCATGACCTCCACCGCTTCTATCTTCCTATCTGCGCCTCTGAGACCCTTTGGGCATCCAGAGGCAGCCGCCCCAGGCCCAGCGGCCCCTGAGCCCCCCAGCGCTCGGGAGCAGCGCATCTCTGTGCCAGCTGCACGCACGGGTATCCTGCAGGAGGCCCGGCGCCGAGGGACGCGGAGGCAGATGTTCCGGCCTGGAAAGGAGGAGACGAAGAACTCGCCAAACCCCGAGCTGCTATCGCTGGTGCAGAACCTGGATGAAAAGCCCCGGGCCGGAGGTGCTGAATCTGGTCCTGAGGAGGACGCACTGAGCCTCGGGGCTGAAGCCTGCAACTTCATGCAGCCAGTAGGGACCAGGAGTTACAAGACCCTGCCTCACGTGACACCTAAGACCCCGCCTCCAATGGCTTCCAAGACCCCGCCCCCTATGACTCCTAAGACTCCACCCCCAGTGGCTCCTAAGCCCCAGTCTCGAGGGCTCCTTGATGGGCTCGTGAATGGGGCAGCCCCTTCGGCTGGAATCCCTGAGCCACCAAGGATGCAGGGCAGGGGTGGGGAGCTGTTTGCCAAGCGGCAGAGCCGTGCGGACAGGTATGTGGTGGAAGGTACAACTGGTCCTGGTCTTGGCCATCGGCCTAGAAGTCCTTCTCCTACCCCGTCTTTGCCCCCTTCTTGGAAATATTCACCCAATATCCGTGCCCCACCTCCTATTGCTTACAACCCACTGCTCTCTCCTTTTTTCCCCCAGGCGGCCCGAACTCTCCCTAAGGCCCAATCCCAGGGGCCTCGGGCAACACCCAAGCAGGGCATTAAGGCTTTAGATTTTATGCGGCATCAGCCCTATCAACTTAAAACTGCCATGTTCTGTTTTGATGAGGTTCCCCCGACTCCTGGACTCACTGCCTCAGGGCCGCCCAAAACTGCCCGAGTCCAGGAGATTCGCCGGTTTTCCACTCCGGCGCCCCAGCCCACTGCAGAGCCCCTTGCTCCCACTGTGCTTGCCCCGCGAGCAGCCACTACACTGGATGAGCCCATCTGGAGAACAGAGCTGGCCTCAACCCCTGTTCCTAGCCCAGCCCCTCCTCCAGAGTCTCCCAGGGGCCTTGGGGCTTCTCCCAGCTCCTGTGGTTTCCAGGTAGCCAGGCCCCGATTCTCAGCCACCAGAACAGGATTGCAGGCTCATGTGTGGAAGCCTGGGGCAGGGCACCAGTGAGCAGGCACAGGTCCCAGGACCAAGGAGAGGTGGAACATCCGGTTCCTAAAGTTGCTTCTCCTACCCTATCCCACTCCCTGTCTCGCATCTGGAAGCTAAATTGCCTCTTGCAAGATATAGTTTCCGAGTTCATGTCCCATCCTTCACCTTCCTCCTCACTCCCTACCTCCCTGCAGCTTTCCAACCATGGCTGCTTTGATACCTTTACCTCTCTTTGTCTCTGCATTTTCTTGCCTGGATCTCTGCCTTTATTTTCAGGTTTCTCCACCCATATTCCTCCACAGGTCTCTATTCCTTGACATTTGAGCTTTTCTCTGTGGGCCTCATTTTAATGTTTTTTTTTTTTTTTTTTTTTTTTTTTTGAGACTGGAGTTTCGCTCTCGTTACCCGGGCTGGAGTGCAATGGCACGATCTTGGCTCACCGAAACCTCCACCTCCTGGGCTCAGGCAATTCTCCTGCCTCAGCCTCCTAAGTAGCTGGGATTACAGGCACGCGCCACCACGCCCAGCTAATTTTTTGTATTTTTAGTAGAGACGGGGTTTCACCATGTTGACCAGGATGGTCTCGATCTCGACCTCGTGATCCACCCACCTCGGCCTCCCAAAGTGCTGGGATTACAGGCTTGAGCCACCGCGCCCGGCCGATTCATTTTAATGTTTGGTGAGAAGCACACAGCAGAAGTGACTACTGAGATCTCAGGCAAGAAGCTTACCACCAGGCAGACAGCAAAGGGAGTGAATTGACCCCTGTTTGCATTAAGCCACCTCCACCCACAACTCTGCTTTCCCAAGATTGCCTGGCATATATCTAGGCCTGTATGTCTGTGTATGTGTATGTGCAAGTGTGTGTTTGTGCACAGATGTGCTCTTTCATCTGAGGCATGAGTAAGAGGAGAGGTCAAAATAAAGACCCAATCTGAGTCTTATTGTACTAATAGAAGGGTCAGATATCCCCACATGAAGTTGAGTGGGAGAAAGAGATTCACTAGAGAATAACTCCTTAGAGACCAATGTCTGTAGCAAATGTACAGCATCTTGTGAAAGTTACGGAGCATGAAAAGACTGAAGGGCCAGGACAGTTTGCATGGGCTGAGTTATACCAGCTAGACCAGGAATAGAAGAAACTACTCTATTCCTGTTTCAGAAAGTTAGCAAGATGAGAGGCCAGTGCTGAGCAACCCAGTACCCAGGAAATGAAAAAATGAAAGAAAATTTCCTCTGAGAATGAACAGATCCTTGGCTTCATTGCCTCATGAGCTTGAGAGAAAGGAGAAGAGAGCCAGAGTGTGGAGAGTGAGGCAGAAACCAGAAGAATGGCAGAAATGAGTGTTAAATGATTGAGCCCACAGACAAAAGTATGGTAAGGGATAATGCCATATTGGCAGAAAGTAAAGTTGGGTAACTAGAAACCAACCTTGTGTGAGAGGAGGATAGGGAAAAAATTTGAGGGAGAATAACGTATTTGTTGGAGAGGAAGGGGATGATGGTGGAAGCGGGGGATGATGGTGGAAGGGAGGTGTGAGGGTGTGTGCTGAGTGTTGAAAGAACAGTTGGTGTCTGTGTGACCTTCCTTGAGTCTGTCCTTCAGTGTGTCTTCTGCAGCTTGCCATGACTACCAGGAAAAGAGCAGGGAAACACCCAGAGACAAAACCTCTTTTCAGTCCCACCCCATCCCTCAAAACCGCAGCTCTTGCTTCTTTGCAGCTTCAGGTCCTAATCTCTGATCTTAGAGGAATATGGACTCCCTTCTCACCAAGACCACCACCAGCCATGTTTGGTTTAATCTGGAAAGTGCTAATTTCCTTTGCTTGTTGGGTGTGAGTCATAATACTTTGGTTTGTGCACAAGAATAAATTTATGTTCCATACCTTCTGTTGCTGTTATCTTCTAGTTTTATACCTAAATCCTGATCTCTCCTTGATCTTTAACCCATTTCCCTGATCTGATTTCTAATCTGTCTCTATTCCTGCCCTCCCATTTTTCACCCTTTTGCCCTTCGTTTCCAGGTCTTTTGCTCTTTCCTACCAATACTGTCCTGTTCTGATTTAGCCACCTTCATCTCTCTTCTTGTTTCCCTTTCCCCACAGTCTTCATCCAAGTTATTCCCTTGCCTCATACTTTCTCTTTTTTTGAGATGGAATCTCGCTTTGTCACCAGGCTGGAGTGCAGTGGCGCAATCCCAACTCACTGCCACCTCCGCCTCCCAGGTACAAGTGATTCTCCTGCCTCAGTCTCCTGAGTAGCTGGGACTACAGATGTGTGCCACCATGCCCGGCTAATTTTTTAAATTTTTAGTAGAGACAGGATTTCACAATGTTGGCCAGGATGGTCTCCATCTCTTGACCTCGTGATCCACCCGCCTCAGCCTCCCAAAGTGCTGGGATTATCGGCGGGAGCCACCATGCCCAGCCCCTTGCCTCACACTTTCTAGGCAAGGCCTCTGTTGACAGAAGAAAGACCCTTTGAGCTCTTTGCCATCAACATTTCCTAGCTCCCCGGAGGAACCAACCATATTAAACAGTCTCTGGGACTTAAGTGAGGAGAAAGCAACAGCTGGCGGGGAAGATGGGATGGGAGAGGGAAGAAGGAAAGAAAGGTGAATTGAGACTACTAAAGAAGGGAAGGCATTGGAGGTAGGTGAGAATTAAAGGCTTGGGAGAAGGAAAGTGCCATTGCTCCCATTCTGCCAGCAGAGGGCATGTTTGTGCCAATAACCACACCCAGGCCACAGACCTCCCAAGTGAACTGTCTCAGAATTTCAAAGGTCTCAGAGACCATAGACTAAAAAACCTGTCTTCACCCAGTCAGTTATTTTAGATATTTCGAAGGAGATAAAACTTTCAGTTTATTTTTGTTTTAGAAGGTGAGGGGGGAGGTGGTGGGCACTGTGGCTCAGGCTTGTAATCCCAGAATTTTGGGAGGCCAAGGTGGGCGGATCACAAGGTCAAGAGATTGAGACCATCTCTAATAAAAATAGAAAAATTAGCTGGGCGTGGTGATGCATGCCTGTAGTTCCAGCTACTCAGGAGGCTGAGGCACAAGAATCACTTGAACCTGGGAGGCAGAGGTTGCAGTGAGCCAAGACTGTGCTCAGCACTTTGGGAGGTTGAGGTGGGCAGATCATGAGATCAGGAGTTTGAGACCAGCCTGACCAACATGGTGAAACCCCGTCTCTACTAAAAATACAAAAATTAGCCAGGTGTGGTGGTGCATGCCTGTAATCCCAGCTACTCAGGAGGCTGAGATGGGAGAATTGCCTTAACCTGGGAGACAGAGGTTTCAGTGAGCCAAGATCATGCCATTGCACTCCAGCCTGGGGGACAGAGTGAGACTCTGTATACAAAAAAGGAAAAATAATAATAATCTGCACAAGGGTTCCAATGAAATAGCATATTTGGGGCCAGGCGCAGTGGCTGATGCCTGTAATCCCAGCACTTTGGGAGGCCAAGGTAGGCGGATCACCTGAGGTCAAGGGTTTAAGACCAGCCTGACCAATATAGTGAAACCCTGTCTCTACTAAAAATACAAAAAATAATAATAATAATAAATTAGCCAGGCATGGTGGTGGGCGCCTATAGTCCCAGCTACTTGGGAGGCTGAGACAGGAGAGCTGCTTGAACCTGGGAGGCAGAGGTTGCAATGAGCCAAGATCATGCCACTGTGCTCCAGCCTGGGTGACAGAGCAAGACTCCATCTCAAAAAAAATAAAAATAAAGTCTGGGCGCAGTGGATCACACCTGTAATCCCAGCACTTTGGGAGGCCAAGGTAGGTGGATCATGAGGTCAGGAGTTCAAGACCAGCCTGGCCAATATGGTGAAACCCCATCTCTACTAAAAATACAGAAAAAAAAAAATTAGCCAGGTGTGATGGCGGGCACCTGTAATCCCAGCTGGGAGGCTGAGGCAGGGAATTGCTTGAACCTGGGAGGCAGAGGTTGCAGTGAGCTGAGATCGTGCCACTCCACTCTAGCCTGGGCGACAGAGCGAGACTTCAACTCAAAAAAAAAAAGAAAAAAAAAAAGAGAGAGAGAGAGAGCTCAGAAAGGGACAAAGGAAGCTACAAAAGCCATTTCCTAGTGTGTACCGGCAGTCCCAGCTACTCAGAGGCTGAGGTAGGCAGATCACTTGTGCCCAGAAGTTCGAGTCCAGCCTGGGCAACATAGTGAGACCCTCACCCCATCTCTTAAAGAATTTTTTTTTTTTTTTTGAGACAGAGTTTCGCTCTTGTTACCCAGGCTGGAGTGCAATGGCGTGATCTTGGCTCACCGCAACCTCCGCCTCCTGGGTTCAGGCAATTCTCCTGCCTCAGCCTCCTGAGTAGCTGGGATTACAGGCACGCGCCACCATGCCCAGCTAATTTTTGGTATTTTTAGCAGAGTCAGGGTTTCACCATGTTGATCGATGGTCTCGATCTCTTGACCTCGTGATCTACCCACCTCGGCCTCCCAAACTGCTAGGATTACAGGTGTGAGCCACCGTGCCCGGCAAGAAATAATGTTTTTTTAAAAAGTGGGCCGGGCTTGGTGGCTCACGCCTGTAATCCCAACACTTTGGAAGGCAGAGGCAGGTGGATCACTGAGGTCAGAAGCTGGAGACTGGCCCTGGCCAACATAGAGAAACCTCATCTCTACTAAAAATACAAAATTAGCTGGGCGTGGTGATGCATGCCTGTAATCCCAGCTACTCAGGAGGCTGAGGCAAGAGAATTGCTTGAACCCGGGAGGCAGAGGTTGTGGTGAGCTGAGATAACGACATTGCATTCCAGCCTGGGTGACAGAGCAAGACTAGGTCTCAAAAAAAAAAAAAAAAAAGCCAGCTAGGCATGGTGAATCATGCCTGTAATCCTAGCACCTTGGGAGGTTGAGACAAGAGGTTGCTTGAGCCCAGGAGTTTGAAATCAGCCTGAGCAACACAGCCAAACCCTGTCTCTCTAAAAGATATTAAAATTAGCTGAGACTAATTTTAGTAGTGGTGGCATTTGCCAGTAGTTCTGGCTACCTGGGAGGGTGAGGTCAGAGGATTACCTGAGCCTGGGGAGGCTGAGGTTGCAGTGAGTTGAAATCGTGCCACTGTACTTCAGCACAGGCAACAGAGTGAGACTGTGTCTCAAATAAATAATAAATAAATAAATAAATAAATAGGCCAGGCGCGGTGGCTCACGCCTGTAATCCTAATACTTTGGGAGGCCAAGGTGGGTGGATCACCTGAGGTCAGGAGTTCAAGACCTGCCTGGCCATCATGGTGAAACCCCATCTTTTAAAAAAAATAATAAAGAAACAAATAAAGCCACTTCCTAAGGTAGCAGCAACAAGGTGGTGATGGCTGCAGCAGAGGTGCTGTAGCAGCTGGTTCC